ATGATTGCTGATGTTATGAATGAAAAGAAGTTGGATGTCCTGGCCCTAAGCGAAACAAAGCTGAAGGGGGTAGGAGAGTTTCAGTGGGGGGAGTATCTGAGAGAGTTAGAGCAAAGGAAGGGGTAGCAGTAATGTTAAATGATCAGTTATGGAAGGAGAAAAGAGAATATGAATGTGTAAATTCAAGAATTATGTGGATTAAAGTAAAGGTTGGATGCGAGAAGTGGGTCATAATAAGCGTGTATGCACCTGGAGAAGAGAGGAATGCAGAGGAGAGAGAGATTTTGGGAGATGTTAAGTGAATGTATAGGAGCCTTTGAACCAAGTGAGAGAGTGATTGTGGTAGGGGACCTGAATGCTCAAGTAGGAGAAACTTTTAGAGAGGGTGTGGTAGGTAAGTTTGGGGTACCAGGTGTAAATGATAATGGGAGCCCTTTGATTGAACTTTGTATAGAAAGGGTTTAGTTATAGGTAATACATATTTTAAGAAAAAGAGGATAAATAAGTATACAAGATATGATGTAGGGCAAAATGACAGTAGTTTGTTGGATTATGTATTGGTAGATAAAAGACTGTTGAGTAGACTTCAGGATGTACATGTTTATAGAGGGGCCACAGATATATCAGATCACTTTCTAGTTGTAGCTACACTGAGAGTAAAAGGTAGATGGGATACAAGGAGAATAGAAGCATCAGGGAAGAGAGAGGTGAAGGTTTATAAACTAAAAGAGGAGGCAGTTAGGGTAAGATATAAACAGCTATTGGAGGATAGATGGGCTAATGAGAGCATAGGCAATGGGGTCAAAGAGGTATGGGGTAGGTTTAAAAATGTAGTGTTAGAGTGTTCAGCAGAAGTTTGTGGTTACAGGAAAGTGGGTGCGGGAGGGAAGAGGAGCGATTGGTGGAATGATGATGTAAAGAGAGTAGTAAGGGAGAAAAAGTTAGCATATGAGAAGTTTTTACAAAGTAGAAGTGATGTAAGGAGGGAAGAGTATATGGAGAAAAATAGAGAGGTTAAGAGAGTGGTGAAGCAATGTAAAAAGAGAGCAAATGAGAGAGTGGGTGAGATGTTATCAACAAATTTTGTTGAAAAAAAAAAAGTTTTGGAGTGAGATTAACAAGTTAAGAAAGCCTAGAGAACAAATGGATTTGTCAGTTAAAAATAGGAGAGGAGAGTTATTAAATGGAGAGTTAGAGGTATTGGGAAGATGGAGGGAATATTTTGAGGAATTGTTAAATGTTGATGAAGATAGGGAAGCTGTGATTTCGTGTATAGGGCAAGCAGGAACAACATCTTGTAGGAGTGAGGAAGAGCCAGTTGTGAGTGTGGGGGAAGTTCGTGAGGCAGTAGGTAAAATGAAAGGGGGTAAGGCAGCCGGGATTGATGGGATAAAGATAGAAATGTTAAAAGCAGGTGGGGATATAGTTTTGGAGTGGTTGGTGCAATTATTTAATAAATGTATGGAAGAGGGTAAGGTACCTAGGGATTGGCAGAGAGCATGCATAGTTCCTTTGTATAAAGGCAAAGGGGATAAAAGAGAGTGCAAAAATTATAGGGGATAAGTCTGTTGAGTATACCTGGCAAAGTGTATGGTAGAGTTATTATTGAAAGAATTAAGAGTAAGACGGAGAATAGGATAGCAGATGAACAAGGAGGCTTTAGGAAAGGTAGGGGTGTGTGGACCAGGTGTTTACAGTGAAACATATAAGTGAACAGTATTTAGATAAGGCTAAAGAGGTCTTTGTGGCATTTATGGATTTGGAAAAGGCATATGACAGGGTGGATAGGGGGGCAATGTGGCAGATGTTGCAGGTGTATGGTGTAGGAGGTAGGTTACTGAAAGCAGTGAAGAGTTTTTTATGAGGATAGTGAGGCTCAAGTTAGAGTATGTAGGAAAGAGGGAAATTATTTCCCAGTAAAAGTAGGCCTTAGACAAGGATGTGTGATGTCACCGTGGTTGTTTAATATATTTATAGATGGGGTTGTAAGAGAAGTAAATGCGAGGGTCTTGGCAAGAGGCGTGGAGTTGAAAGATAAAGAATCACACATAAAGTGGGAGTTGTCACAGCTGCTCTTTGCTGATGACACTGTGCTCTTGGGAGATTCTGAAGAGAAGTTGCAGAGATTGGTGGATGAATTTGGTAGGGTGTGCAAAAGAAGAAAATTGAAAGTGAATACAGGAAAGAGTAAGGTTATGAAGATAACAAAAAGATTAGGTGATGAAAGATTGGATATCAGATTGGAGGGAGAGAGTATGGAGGAGGTGAATGTATTCAGATATTTGGGAGTGGACGTGTCAGCAGATGGGTCTATGAAAGATGAGGTGAATCATAGAATTGATGAGGGGAAAAGGGTGAGTGGTGCACTTAGGAGTCTCTGGAGACAAAGAACTTTGTCCTTGGAGGCAAAAAGGGGAATGTATGAGAGTATAGTTTTACCAACGCTCTTATATGGGTGTGAAGCATGGGTGATGAATGTAGCAGCGAGGAGAAGGCTGGAGGCAGTGGAGATGTCATGTGTGAGAGCAATGTGTGGTGTGAATATAATGCAGAGAATTCGTAGTTTGGAAGTTAGGAGGAGGTGCGGGATTACCAAAACTGTTGTCCAGAGGGCTGAGGAAGGGTTGTTGAGGTGGTTCGGACATGTGGAGAGAATGGAGCGAAACAGAATAACTTCAAGAGTGTATCAGTCTGCAGTGGAAGGAAGGCGGGGTAGGGGTCGGCCTAGGAAAGGTTGGAGGGAGGGGGTAAAGGAGGTTTTGTGTGCAAGGGGCTTGGACTTCCAGCAGGCATGCGTGAGCGTGTTTGATAGGAGTGAATGGAGACAAATGGTTTTTAATACTTGACGTGCTGTTGGAGTGTGAGCAAAGTAACATTTATGAAGGGGTTCAGGGAAACCGGCAGGCCGGACTTGAGTCCTGGAGATGGGAAGTACAGTGCCTGCACTCTGAAGGACGGGTGTTTATGTTGCAGTTTAAAAACTGTAGTGTAAAGCACCCTTCTGGCAAGACAGTGATGGAGTGAATGATGGTGAAAGTTTTTCTTTTTCGGGCCACCCTGCCTTGGTGGGAATCGGCCAGTGTGATAATAATAAAAATAATAATTTTGTTTTAATTTAGTCTAGCATGCTTATTTTTTATGCCTAAGTCAAACGTACAACATGTTATTCATTATCTCTAAGTTTCTAGATAATAAATTAAAATTTGGTGCTTGTGACCAGATAATGAAAATAAGTCACTCTCTGACTTTTTTTTTTGGGTTGTCCTAGGTTCTTTTAACATATGTTGCTATGTATGATAACCTTTGTAACTGCATTTGTGTATACCTGAATAAACTTATTTACCATATAAAAATATAAAAAATTGTAGGTATATACTCTCCAAAATATGCTATTATGTTCCCCAATCTAGATTACCAACACTACTTGGCTCTCATTTACCCATACCTCACCTATGGAGTTTCTGCTCGGGAATCTACCTAAACAGTCTACCTCAAACCAATTACCACACAACTGCCTGAATGTGGAATAAATGCTGTAACTTGTTAGATGAATTAAAAAAATTTTAACAATAAATTTATACAAATATAAAAAACTAGCTGTGCCAAATGTATATCTCTGAAAAAAATTTCATTGTAACCCCTTATTATACCCCTATTATACATTGACTTCCAAGTTATGAATATTAGTTACAAGTTAGGACTGCCTGAATCTGTTCATGCTTTTAAGTTACAGTTAAAAGCACATTTGTTTTCTGGAGCTAATGATCCAGATGATCATACTGTCACTCTTAAAAACTTTACTGTTGTTTTTTATTGTAAGTGTATCTATGGATCTCCATGGGGAAGTGGAACGGAATTCTTGCTCTGTAAGCCATGCGTGTTGTAAGAGGCAACTAAAATGCTGGGAGCAAGGGGTTAGTAACCCCTTCTCCTGTATATATTACTAAATTTAAAAGGAGGAACTTTTGTTTTTCCTTTTGGTCCACCCCGTCTCAGTGGGATATTGCCCGGTGCGTTGAAAGAGAAGAAGAAAAAGTATCTATGGTTTGACGTGTGAACACTTGTAAGTTTCTTGAAAGACAAGGCATGCAAGAATTACAAAACCTCAGATATTATTATTATTACTGAAATACTATGCATATCTATGAGATTTTTCCTTGTAAGTTACATACATTGTTAACCTACTACAGTAACTCCAATGTATCTTCCTGGGAAATAAAGATTTTGTTGTAAATAGAACATGATCACTTTTAAATAAGAGGATTTCTTCTTATCTAAATACACTAGGTGTAGTACTGATAGTGTTTTGCCAGTTTTTGCTTAAGTTTTCGCTTTAACCTTTAAATTGTCCAAACATAGATCTACGTTGATGTGCATAGTGCTCCGAACGTAGATCTACGTCCAATTTTACATGCCTTCAAACGGTGAGAATCAAGGTCGGAGCGCTACGCATGTCAACGTAGATCTACGTTTGGACAGTTTAAGGGTAAAAAGAGCTGATGAGCACATAAAACAAACTTTCCTGCTTCCATAATTTAGATATCTATGTTAGAAAGTATCAGACTTTAATTTCCATATACATCATTAACATTTAGTTGTTTAAGCTACAATGCTTCAAATATGTGTAGCAACATGACAACTGTGTTAGTAACATTACAATTGTGTGTACCAACATTGCAGTTGTGTTGGTAACCTTACAATTGTGTGAAGAAATATCACAATTTTGTTAGTAACTTTACAGTTGTGTGTAGAAATATCATAATTGTGTTAGTAACATTACAAATGTGTGGACTGACATCACAATTAACATCACAATTAACATCACAATTAAGCCAGTAACATCATGCTTAGCAAATACATTCTAAAGCATGTGATCTAAGTAATATTTGGAAGATTTTATGTGCAAGTTTTCAGAGCAGAAATATTTAAAAAATATATATTAATAATAATCACAAAATGTAAGAACAAGAAAATTACAAGGATATAGCACTAGTTTTCACCTTGACTCTGGGTTCATCTATCTTATCCAGCACCTTGTTAGGATAGTAGTCACCAACTCTGTATGCCAGAAGTTGAGTTAGGTCAAAAGGGGCATAACCTTCAGTGAATAATTCAGCCAGACAGCACCTATAAAACAAAAGAGTAACTGTTAATGAATGAACATCAAGTTTAGCCACTTTTTTAAAGAAACAAGCAGCAGGTTCATGGGTGAGCTCATGACCATATCAAAGCAATGTGTATTTGTTCTTTGTAGCTGGAGAATCTGTAGTTGATTCGCAGTTCCACCAGATCCATGATGTCTTTGATGGGTATGGGCAGGTCAAGGTTGTCATTTTATTCCTCAGTAGTGCGCTGGCCCATGTGGTGGTACATTAGTGGAAAGGTCTTTCAGTCAAAACTGGGTCTACGTTTGTTCTTAATGATAATGTTTTTTACTTAGTTAACCCTTAAACGGTCCAAATAGATCGACGTTCAAATCCGTAGTGCTCCAAAAGTGGATCTATGTTTTTTTACATATTTTCAAACAAAAAAAAAAAAAAAGTGGATAAAAGTTTTTTACACATTTCCAAATGTAAAAAAAAAAAGATGATGTACATTTTTTTACATACTTTCAAATGTTGAAAAAAACGTATACATGTATATACATTTGGACCATTTAAGGGTTAATGAAGTAACAAGTGCTTCAGATGTAACTAGCTTATGGTACCCAATACAGTGGACCCCCGGTTAACGATATTTTTTCACTCCATAAGTATGTTCAGGTGCCAGTACTGACCGAATTTATTCCCATAAGGAATATTGTGAAGTAGATTAGTCCATTTCAGACCCCCAAACATACACTTACAAACGCACTTACATAAATACACTTACATAACTGGTCGCATTCGGAGGTAATCGTTATGCGGGGGTCCACTGTACAGTGGACCCCCGCATAACGATTACCTCCGAATGCGACCAATTATGTAAGTGTATTTATGCAAGTGCGTTTGTACGTGTATGTTTGGGGGTCTGAAATGGACTAATCTACTTCACAATATTCCTTATGGGAACAAATTCGGTCAGTACTGGCACCTGAACATGTTTCTGGAGTGAAAAAATATCGTTAACCGGGGGTCCACTGTAGTTTGGACAGATGCTTCACAAGTATCCCTGTCAGTTTGTGAGTGGATCTTCCCATTACCTGAAGTGATAGGTCTGAGGGGAGGTGTTGCCTGTATGGGTTTTGGGTAACTCATTAAACTCTTTTCAGGAAACTTTATGTAAGATTAACAAAGCTTCCCCTAGTAGGTGAAATATTTTCTTAATAAAATGTTGTAAATGTTGTGCCTATGTCTTTATCCCTCAATCTTTATCACAATCAAACCAGTTTCTAATGCCTTCCTCAGATGACCCAGAAATCATTTCACAGAGTTCCTCTGCATGTGGCGTAATGCAGAAAATTCTCAACAGATTAATAGTGGGAAGCAGGTGGCTGGTAATGGTAATTATGGTAAACAGAATTGCAATAGTTTTGCCATAATCAAAACAATAACGGGCAATTCTGTAACCAATGGACTTTGTTGTTTCCGAATCAACTGACTTAGTTGATTTTTTCCTATATTTCCGAAGTTTTTTATATTCGAAGTCTTTTAAATGAAAGGTTTACTACTGCATTTTTTATAATGGCCACCTGTTTCATGACAATCCTACAAAATTACTGCAAATGCCTAAATCATCATCACTGGTTAATAGGCTTGCAGGCCATATCTTATACCAAGAACTCTTATGTGTGCCCTGAGACATCTCACCCTATGACTACAGAATTATAAATCTCACATATACCATTCCATTTCTTAAATCTACCAAGCCACCCTCACTCTTACCTTCTACACTCATTTCATTGGAAAATACTTTGATATTACAATAAAAAATGTACCAGAAATAGGAACACTTTCACTGTGGCACTTTTGAAACCATTTGCATAATTTTATTGTCATCTTTGCTAAAACCCCACATAGTGTTTACTGATTAGCAATGGCTTCAATGTGTTGGTATTAATAATATTCAATAATTTAGTTGCTTTGTTTCTTTATGTCATACACTGTCAACTTTCCAATACAGTATTATATTCTATCAACAGAAGACTTACACTTACTCCATTGTCCAACTTTTTGAGTATTTCCACTTTTTTGGTCCATAGTAAGATAATCTGCTTTACATTTCATTCACCTTGGTGAGTGAAATGGCTACGAGATCTTTTCTTGTCTTTCTTGGAATTATCACTTTTACCAGAAAAACTACAGGAGTTGCTTTACGATCCTAATGATGGCCTGTGACATAAATTAGCAGATGAAAGCAATTAGACGTGCACACCTTGGAATTATTATCGCTCACACCAGAAAAACTACAGGAGTTGCTTTACGATCTTAATGAAGGAGTGTAACATAAATTAACACATGAAAGCAACTAAACCTACACACCTATGTCTCACCTCCCCTTACCTCATGCCTAAGTCTACCTATGGTGTGGCTTTGACATGACAGCAGATGGCCAGCTCTTGCACTAAGCCAGAGTTTCAGAATACAGTGGACCCCCGGTTAACTATATTTTTTCATTCCAGAAGTATGTTCAGGTGCCAGTACTGACCGAATTTGTTCCCATAAGGAATATTGTGAAGTAGATTAGTCCATTTCAGACCCCCAAACATACACGTACAAACGCACTTACATAAATACACTTACATAATTGGTCGCATTGGGAGGTGATCGTTAAGCGGGGGTCCACTGTACTGCAGAAGTAATGCTCAATATAAATTTCTGAACACCAAAGCAAAGTTTCCAAAAATCTGCAGAATCTTTATCCAAACTTTGTGCTCCAGTGTAACAGGGTGTCCATATTATAGAATGATCAGAATTATAAACAGAAAGAGGTTAGAATTTTTATACAGAACTTTAACCCTTTCAGGGTCGACAGGCCCTCTCAGAGACTTGTTCTCAGGGTCGGCCAAATTTAAAAAAAAAAAAAAAAATTATTTTTCTTATGAAAAGATAGAGAATCTTTTCCCAATCATAATGACACCAAAAGTATGAAATTTGATGGAAAACTTACGGAATTATGTTCTCGCAAAGTTAGCGGTCTTGATGATGTTTACGCATCGGCGATTTTGCCCACTTTGAGCCCTATTTTCAGCCAATTCCAGTGAACTTGTTGACAAAAATCATAACTATTTTGCTAGAACTCAATTTTTTCTATCGAATGAGTACAAGAAACCACCCATTTACCGATTTCAACTATCCAATACAGTGGTCAGAATTTAGCAATTTTGCCAATTTCACACAAATTTCAAAAGACGCCAATTTCCGAATAGGGTCCAGAATAAACAAGAAAGACATTCCTGGCACTAAAATAACATTTCCTCTGTTCATTAGTCACGTCCCCAAGAATATTAGACTCACCAGTTGACGTGTATTGAATGCATAGCACGATTTGTTTACTTTCGAACTTTGGTAAAAATCGAACATTTCTGCTACTTTGAGCGCAATTTCAAGGTACAGTGGTCCCTCACTTTTCGTAGCTCTCGGCAATCGTAAATTTCGCCAATCATAGGGGTATTTTCGTATAAACATGGACTCGCTTTTCATAGGTTGACTCGCGAATAGTAGTTCATCCGGGACGCGTACGCATGGTGTGAGCCGGGGAGGCCTCCCTACCCAGCCAGTCTGGTATTGTTTACCAGTGAGTGAAGGTTCCCTCAAGTGCTCCTACGAAATATTTCATAATATTCCACTCATTTTAGTACTTGCAAGTACTAAATAAGCTACCGTGGCTCCAAAGAAAGCTCCTAGTGCCAAGCCTGTGGTAAAGAAGGTGAGAAATATGTACAGTGACAAAGTCTTGGGCCATTTTAGGGAAGTGTAAGAGAGACGCCAGAAACAGAGCTCTCTCCACAGTTACTTTGCGAGACAAGACTAGAGTGACTCTCAAGGTGGTCCTAGTGGCATTAAGAAACAGAGAAGCAAAGCAACCCCAGAGAAGCAATTGGTACCTGAGGTGTTGCTGGAAGGGGATTCCCCTTGCAAACTGTAAACAATCCAATCTCACTTCTCCTCCAGTCTCCCATACACTAAGAAGAATCTCCAATAAAGGTAAGTGTTATGCTGTTAATGTTTCATTCATCATTTCCCATTGTATTGTTTATGTACTACATCTAGATTTCATGTAAAAAATTTTTTTATTTTAATACTTCTGAGTGTCAGGAACGGATTAATTGTATTTACTTTATTTCTTATGGGGAAAATTGATTCGCAAATCGTAAATTTTGTTTATAGTAGCTCCTCCAGGAACGGATTAATTCCAAAAAACGAGGGACCACTGTAGTTTTCTTTGTAAAACCAGTCAAAATCATCTCAATTTCTGTAATATGTCTTCCATTCTATAAAATGAGAGCAGGAAAACTAGAATACAACTATAAATACCATATGAAAATACAGTGCAAAGTCGCTGTTTTAATCCAAAAACACGGTCAAAGTTTTTTTTTCTCATTATGCACTGTGTGCTGCAGGATTTTTTTATACCATGCACACTGACCACATAGACCCATTCTTTCATATGTAGGCCTACTAGCTTTCTCTCACTAGATTTGAGGGCACTAGAATTTAGGCGTACTAGTACGTCAAAAACCCTGGTGCGTAAGCCGTACTAGTACGGCCGAAACCCTGAAAGGGTTAACCTATGAAATATTTCAGTGTTCATCAGTTAAATGGCACAATATATATATTTGTAGATGAATGGTTCAGAGAACCGACATGTTGATAAATTAGACACATGTGCAACTCTTGGGTATCTTTATTGAGGAAATGTTTCGCCACACAGTGGCTTCATCAGTCCATACGTAGGAGAAACTTGAAGAACAGGAGGAGAATGAGGTAATCAGTCCCTCAACCTTGAGTCGATGTGTTCAGTCCATCAATCTTGAATAGAATACGGCATATCAGCGGAGAAGCAGCTTATAAACCGTATGGCAGGAGAGGTGCAGCAGTCATAGGTGGTGTCACATTTGTTCAATGTGGAAGTAGGTCGTGCCCAAGAATTAGGCAAGCGAAGAATTCCTAAGTATTAAGATCCCAAGAAGTTGCAGTGTCTGACACTTTGTATATGAATGTTCAAGAACTGACCATTGATAAATTAGACACATGTGCAACTCTGGTACTTTATGAGGAAACGTTCGCCCACATGGCTTCATCAGTCAGTCGAGGAGAAACTTGAAGAACAGGAGAAAGAGGTATCATCCCTAACCTGGTCGATGTGTTCAGTCCATCAATCTAATAAAAACGCATATCAGCGAGACACTTATAAACGTATGGACGGTGAGGTGCAGCAGTCCATGGTGGTGTCACATTTGTTCAATGTGAAGTAGGTCTGCCAAGAATTAGGCAAGCGAAGAATTCCTAATATTAAGATCCAAGAATTGCACAAATTGACACGACCTAGACTGCTGCACACTTCTTCCTGCATACGTTTTATAACTGCTCCCGCGATATCCGTTCTATTCAAGATGATGGACTGAAACACATCGACTCAAGTGAGGACTGTTACCATCATCTCCTCCGTTCACAAGTTTCTCTACGTAAGGACTGATGTAACCACGTGTGCGAAACTTCTCATTAAAGATACCCAAGAGTTGCACATGTCTAATTTATCACAAACTAATACTCATCACACTAAAACATCAATAAGCTAAACTTTTTTTTTGTTTTATCACATTGGCCGTTCCCACCCAAGGCAGGTGGCCCGATAAAGATAAAACTTTCACCTCATTCACCCATCACTGTCTGCCAAAGGTGCTTTACACTACAGTTTTAACTGCAACATTAACACCCCTCCTTCAAGTGCGCACGTACTTCCCTCTCCAGGACTCAAGTCCAGCCTGCCGGTTTCCCCTAACCCCTCAATGTTCTTGCTTCACACTCCAACAGCACGTCATATTAAAACCATTGTCTCCATTCACTCCTTCAAACACGCTCACGCTGCTCTGGAAGTCCAAGCCCCACCGCACACAAACCTCCTTTACCCCTCCCTCCAACGTTTTGGTATCCGCCACCTACCCTGCCTTCTTCCACTACAGACTGATACACTCTTGAAGTTATATTCCTTCGCCCATTCTCTCTACATGTCCGACCACCTCACAACCTTCCTCAGCCCTCTTGGACAACATTTTGGTAATCCCGCAGCCTCCTCCCATAAACTTCAAAACTACAATCTCTGCATATATTCACACCACCATTTGCCTCCAGACATACATCTCCACTGCCTCCAGCCTTCTTCTGCTGCAACATCATCACCCATGCTTCACACCCATATAAGACTTGGTAAACTAACTCTCATACTGACCCCTCTTTGCCTCCAAGACAAAGTTTTTTTCTCCACAACTCCTAAGTGCACCACTCACTCTTTCCCCTCATCAATTTTATGATTCACCTCATCTTTTATAGACCCATCCGCTGACACGTCCACTCCCAAATATCTGAATACATTCACCTCCTCCATACTCTCTCCCTCCAATCTGATATTCAATCTTTCATCACCTAATCTTTTTGTTATCCTCATAACCTTACTCTTTCCTGTATTCACCTTTAATTTTCTTCTTTTGCACACCCTACCAAATTCATCCACCAATCTCTGCAACTTCTCTTCAGAATCTCCCAAGAGCACAGTGTCATCAGCAAAGAGCAGCTGTGACAACTCCCACTTTGTGTGTGATTCTTTATCTGTTAACTCAAAAATAAAAATAAATCACACTAACAAGTTCACAAGAAAAGTATAAATACCATCACATGAAGTTAAAAGGCTCTACTTCAATTAAAAAAATCTATTAAACTGTTACCATCGCAAGATGCTTCGACATAACTGTACCCTGGAGCTTTACAAAAATCGTTACTTTCGGAAAAAGTGTTGAAATTTGCCTCATGGATGTAGAATATCCCCAGGTCTATATTTAACCCTTTGAGGGTCGACAGGCCCTCTCCGAAACTCGTTCTCAGGGTCGGCCAAATTTAAAAAAAAAAAAAAAATTATTTTATCTTATGGAAAGATAGAGAATCTTTTCCCGATCATAAAGACACCAAAAGTTTGAAATTTGATAGAAAACTCACGAAATTATGCTCTCGCAAAGTTAGCGGTCTCGGCGATCTTTACGCATCGGCGATTTTGCCCACTTTGAGCCCCATTTTCGGCCAATTTTGCTGTACTAGTCGACAAAAAACATGAATATTTCGCTAGAACTCCATTTTTTCTATCGAATGGTGCAAGAAACCACCCATTTATGAAATTCAACTATCCAGTACAGTGGTCAGAATTTAGAAATTTTGCCAATTTCACACAAATTTCAAAAGATGCCAATTTCCGAATAGGGTCCAGAATAAACAAGAAAGACATTCCTGGCACTAAAATGACATTTCCTCTAGTCATTAATCACGTCTCAAGGCCCCTCTTATATTCTTTTGCTTTCCATTTTGAATTTTTATTCTCACAAAAAATATAAGATTTACTGTTATGCAGACTACTGCATTAGTGTAAAAAATGGTATAAATATTATTGGTGCACTTGTGAAAGAATATTAGACTCACCAGTTGACGTGTATTGCACGCTTGGCACGATTTGTTTACTTTTGAAGTTTGGTAAAAATCGAACATTTCTGCTACTTTGAGCTCAATTTCAAGGCACCTTTCTTTGTAAAACCAGCCAAAATCATCTCAATTTCTGTAATATGTCTTCCATTCTATAAAATGAGACCAAGAAAACTAGAATACAACAATAAATACCATACGAAAATACACTGCAAAGTCGCTGATTTATTCCAAAAAAATGGTCAAAGTTTTTTTTTCTCATTATGCACTGTGTGCTGCAGGATTTTTTTTAAACTGTGCACACTGACCACATAGACCCATTCTTTCATATGAAGGCCTACCAGCTTTCTCCCACTAGATTTGAGGCCGCTAGAATTTATGCGTACTAGTACGTCAAAAACCCCTACGCGTAAAACGTACTAGTACGACGAAAACCCTCAAAGGGTTAAAGACATGCTTTATGGGATTGAAGACAACACTTTAAATGGGTGCCTAATGGAAGTCAAACTGAACTCTTCCTTGGAACTGCCCTGCCATGAATTCTAATGAATTTTTGCACTTTTGGTTACACCTTCAACATTGCACCACAGTAAAAAAAAATGCACTGGACACCAGTAATTTTTGTGGGAAATCTGCTACCTAAATTGAATATAATTATTGTTTATTTATGAAGACTTGAATGGCTCACGAAACTGTAATAACACGATTGCAAACAAACCACGGTACGGGTGGGGTTTAAACCCATGGCAAGTGAGTCATAAAACTTCAGGCCAGTGCATATGTCACTCGACCAGCTGGCCGAGTGGCTTACACACTGGACTGGAGTTTTAGTCTAACTTGTCATGGGTTCAAACCTCAGTAGTACTGTGGTAACACTTAAATATTTAATAACTTTATGTACAAGAACTCATGCTAAATATTGAAGGTTCACATAAGGAATTTCATTCCTAATTGGTGGTACAATAAAAATGATGAGTACTGCTTTCACATACCCAGCTGAAAACACATCCATAGCTGGAGTGAGATGACCTTTGTCTTTCACCTCCTTCAACAACTGCTGGGCATCCATCTGTAGAGTCTTGATAAACCTAATGAGAAGAAGAAAATGTTCATTTCTTCACTATATAGCAGACTGATTATTTAAAGTAATACATTATCTTACAATTTAAAAGATATAAAAATAATGCAGGTCAATGAAACAAAACACTGTGCATTATCTAATGTTTCATTCTTACTGTGTTAATAAAGCTTATACGTACTCTGGTAATTACCTCCTAAAATAACAAAAGGTCTTTCTGTAATTGCTGCCTTTGTCTGTCACATAATTCCCAACATAATAAAGATACCAAATTGCTGCACATGCATCTTACTCATTTACTTGTCTGTACTGTATACCATTAATATAATAATAAGATGCCACAATGAAGGGTACTTAGATAAGTGGAGAATTAACAGCATGGATAATAACTACTATAAGGAATGAAGCATCAGGATAGGAGAGTACGCAGTGGATATACTCCCAAGGATCAGTGTCTGGTTAAGATTTGACCCCTGAAACCACATACACCTACCATCCGACTTACGACCTGCTTGACTTACGACCACTCGACTTACGACCGTGTTTTTTATGCCAAATTTCTGGGAAATAAACAACTATTTGTGTTGTACACAGTGTTTATCCTAAACCTTAGAGTATAAAATACAGTACTAACAGCATAAAAAGTAAAGTAAAACATGAAATACCAAAATAAAACAATAAAATAAAGTCCGAACTCGGTTGTAAGTCGGATGGTAGGTGTGTAAGTAAGTACATGCAGGTGAGTACAAACCTGCTTGATGCTCAAGCCCCTAAACCATAAGCCTCTTAAATTCCATCCCTCCAACTATCATCATCCCATGGGGATAGTGGGCTGTGAAATTCTTTCCCCAGAAACCATGTGTCATAAAAGGTGATTAAAATGCCAGAAGCAAAGGGCTAGTAACCCTTCTGTATTCAGTTAATTTAAGAAAGAAAATTATTTTTATTTCAACCCATCAGCCATTTTCCACCAAGGCAGTGACCCCTCAAAAAAAAAAAAAAAAAAAAAATAAAGCTTTTTTTCTTTTTACATTTAGTAATTTATACAGGGAAAGGAGTGACTAGAATTTTAGTTGCCTCTTATGACATGCATGGCTTACAGAGAAAAGATTCTTTTCCGCTTCTCCACATTTTGAGCTCAGCTCACTCAGAGAAACTGTGAGTAGTAAATTTTGACCTAGACATGAGAGAATGTGTGTGTGGTTAGTGTGCATGGTATATAAAAAAAATCCTGCTCCATGTAGTGCATGATAGGATAAGCAAGTCTCTGACCATGTGTTGGGTTTAAAACAGGGGTTTTGAGGTGTTTTCTAGGATGGTTTTTATGGTTTAATTGGCTGCTTCTTCCTATCATTTGAGAGACTGGAAAACATACTACAGGTTGGCCATCACTAATCCGGAAATCAGTAATCTGGTTCCATCAGTAATCCAGCACTAATTTTGGCTAGCATAATTTAAAATTTCAGGGGGCGCCACACCAACCTGCCGCTACTGTTTGGTGGCGTTATTTGCTGCATTACTCATTCCAATTTCTTTTTCTCCATTTATTGCTAGAACCTGCTGACTTTCTGCCCTAGCCATGGTTCCAACAAATAAAAGAAATGCTTCTCGTTGTGTAGAGCACATACACCACACACTGTCCATAAAAGATAAGGTGGCTTTCAAGCCACTGTCGGTCATCATGAGCTCAGCTCACACAGATAAGCTGGAAATGGTAAATTTGGGCCCACATATAAGAGAATTGGTCTGTGTGTTAAGTGTGCTCTATATATAAAAAATCCTGCAGCACACAGTGCATAATGAGAAAAAATTGCGACAGTGTTTTTGGTGTAAAACAGCGACTTTGCAGTGTATTTTCATATCATTTTTATGGTTGTATTCTCGTTTTTTTTATCTCATTTGATAGAATGGAAGATATATTACAAAAATAGATATGATTTTGATTGGTTTCACAACAGGAATTACCTTGAAATTGAGCTCAAAGTAACGGAACTGTTCGAGAGTAAACAAATGATGTCGCCACCCAATGTGTGTCCAACTGGCAGGTCTAATACATAGTCATGAATGGGTTGACATTATTTATACAATTATTGCAATAATGCAGTAGTCTGCATAACAGTAAATCTTCTATTTTTTGTGTGAATAAAAATTCAAAATGGAAAGCACACGTAATGTTAGAGAGGCCTGGAGACATGACTAATGAACAGAGAAAATGTTATTTTAATGCATTACTTATTCTGGACCCTATTTTGAAGTTAGCATCTCTTGAAATTTGTGTGAAATTGGCTAAATTACCAATTTCTGACCACTTTATTGGGTAGTTGAAATAGGTAAGTGGGCAGTTTCTTGTACTCAATCAACAGAACAGAAGGAATACTGTACTAGCAAAATAGCTATGAATTTGGTAAATTGGAACAATGGACTGGACCAAAAATAGGGCGTAAAGTGGAAGAAATCGCTGATGCTTAACCCTTTCAGGGTCCATGCAGTAGTTCTACAGCTTTGAGTTGAGGGTCTAAACCGTAGATCTATGCCATGAGCTCAGCTCACTCTGATAAGCTGAGAGCAGTAAATTTGGGCCTAGATATGAGAGAATACATCTATGTGGTATGTGTGCACCACATAAAACAAACCCTGCAGCACACAGTGAATAATGAGAGAAAAACAACTGAGACTAATTTTCGATTAAAACAGCGACTTTGCAGTGTTTTTTCGTATGTTTTTTCTAGCTGTATATATTTGCGATTTCTTGGTCTCATTTGATTTTGATTGGTTTTAGTACTCTAAATGGCTTGAAACTGACCTCAAAGTAGCAGAAATGTTCAGTTTTTGCCGATGTTCAAGAGTAAACAAATGACCTCACACGTCTAATACACGCCAGCTGGTGGGTCTAATAAATGTTTACAAATGTGGTGATATTATTTATACAATTATTACAATATTGCATAACAGTAAATCTTCTATTTTTGGTTTGAATAAAAATTCATTATGTGAATAAAAAATCAAAATGGAATTCATTTGTAAAGCCTGAATATGTAACTGATGAACAGGAATGCTTGCACTGTTTATTCTGGACCCTATTTTGAAATTGGAATATTTTGAACTTTGCATTAAATTGGCCAAATTTACCAATTTCCGATCACTTTATTTTGTAGTTGAAACAGTTGACTTGTGCTCAATCGATAGAACAGAAGTACAGTGGACCCCCGGTTAACGATATTTTTTCAATACAGAAGTATGTTCAGGTGCCAGTACTGACCGAATTTGTTCCCATAAGGAATATTGTGAAGTAGATTAGTCCATTTCAGACCCCCAAACATACATGTACAAACGCACTTACATAAATACACTTACATAATTGGTCGCATTCGGAGGTGATTGTTATGCGGGGGTCCACTGTAATACAGTGGACCCCCGCATAACGATCACCTCTGAATGCGACCAATTATGTAAGTGTAGTTATGTAAGTGCGTTTGTACGTGTATGTTTGGGGGTCTGAAATGGACTAATCTACTTCACAATATTCCTTATGGGAACAAATTCGGTCAGTACTGGCACCTGAACATACTTCTGGAGTGAAAAAATATCGTTAACCGGGGGTCCACTGTACTAGCGAAATAGCTAAGAATTTGGTCGACTGGAATAATGTAATTGGCCTAAAATAGGAGTCAAAGTCGACAAAATCGCCAATGCGTAAATATAGCTGACACATCAAAATTCCCAAGAACATAATTTCGTCAATTTTCCATCAAATTTTGTACTTTTTGTTTTATTACCTTTAGAAAAAGATTCTCTACCAATTAATAAGAAAAAATAACAATTTTTTTTTTTTAAATTCTTGGACCATGGTGCACACTTGGAAATTTGACCTCTGCACCCTGAAAGGGTTAAATATCGCGGTTGGGTTAAGTGTAATCTAACCTAACCACTCTGTAATCCGGCAAAATCACTAGTCCAGCACCCTACAGATCCCAATGATGCCAGATTGGTGATGATCAACCTGTACTGAAATAAAGATGTTTTTCACTGGTAGAAGTAGCAGAAAAATTTGATTTTGACAATTTTCTGAGGATAGGAAAGGTTTCCCTCTTGGTTTTTTGGGTTTTTTTTTTTACTAGGTTTGCTTCAATTATTGGTATGATCTAAACCAAGATAAATCATTCCTAGTAATATTTTATTGCCAAAAAAATGGTAAACTTTGATTGTGTGATGATGCATTCAAAATGGACTGCAAGTAGGAGAAGTGTATGAGAACTTGATTAATAAACAGAAGAAAATTTTCTTTATAATAATAATTATGTAGGTAGTAGGTTGGTAGACAGCAACTGCCCAGGGAGGTACTACCGTCCTGCCGAGTGAGTGTAAAACGAAAGCCTGTAATTGTTTTACATGATGGTAGGATTGCTGGTGTCCATTTTTCTGTCTCATGAACACGTAAGGTTTCAGGTACGTCTTGCTACTTCTACTTACACTTAGGTCACACTACACGTACATGTACAAGCATATATATACATACATACCTCTCTGGGCTTTCTTCTATTTTCTTTCTAGTTCTTGTTCTTGTTTATTTCCTCTTATCTCCATGGGGAAGTAGAACAGAATTCTTCCTCTGTAAGCCATGCGTGTCATAAGAGGCGACTAAAATGCTGGGAGCAAGGGGCTAGTAACCCCTTCTCCTGTATATATTACTAAATGTAAAATGAGAAACTTTCGTTTTTCCTTTTGGGCCACCCTGCCTTGGTGGGATACAGCCAGTGTGTTGAAAGAAAGAATAATAATAATACCAACAACAACAATAATAATAATAATAATAATAATAATAATAATAATAATAATAATAATAATAATAATAATAATAATAATAATCACCTTAGTTGATGAGGATTAAAAATTAGGTGACAAAAGATTGGATATCAGATTGGAGGGAGAGTGTATAGAGGAAGGGAATGTATTCAGATAGTATTTAGCAGTGGACATGTCAGCAGATGGGTCTATGAAAGATGAGGTGAATCACAGAATTCATGAGGGTAAAAAGGTTAGTGGTGCACGTAGGAGTCTGTGGCGAAAAAGAACTTTGTCCATGGAAGCAAAGAAGGGAATGTATGAAAGTACGTATAGTTATACCAATGCTCTTATATGGGTGTGAAACATGGGTGGTGAATGTTGCAACAAGGAGAAGGCTGGAGGCAGTGAGAAGGGGTTGTTGAGATGGTTTGGACATGTAGAGAGGCTGAAACAAAACAGAATGACTTGGAGAGTGTATAAATCTGCAGTAGAGGGGTAGGGGTCGGTCTAGGAAAGGTTGGAGGGAGGGGGTAAAGGAAGTTTTGTGTGCGAGGGGCTTTGACTTTCAGCAAGCATGTAAGAGCATGTTAGATAAGAGAGAATGGAGACAAATAGTTTTTAGGACTTGGCATTCTGTTGGAGTGTGAACAAGGTAAAATTTATGAAGGGAGTCAGAGAAGCTGGCAGGCTGGACTTGAGTCCTGGAGATGGGAAGTAGAGAGTCTACACTCTGAGGAAGGGTGTTAATGTTGCAGTTAATGTTAATGTTGCCTTGGTGGGAGAAGGCCGACGTGTTAATAAAATAATAATAATAATATACCTAGATAGTAGGTTGGTAGACAGCAACTGCCCAGAAAGGTACTACTGTCCTGCCAAGTGAGTGTAAAACAGAAACCTGTAATTATTTTACATGATGGTAGGATTGCTGGTGTCCTTTTTTCTGTCTCATAAACATGCAAGATTTCAGGTACGTCTTGCTACTTCTACTTACACTTAGGTCACACTACACATACATGTACAAGCATACATATACACACCCCTCTGGGATTTCTGCTATTTTCTTTCTAGTTCTTGTTCTTGTTTACTTCCTCTTATCTCCATGGGGAAGTGGAACAGAATTCTTCCTCCGTAAGCTATGCGTGTTGTAAGAGGCGACTAAAATGCTGGGAGCAAGGGGCTAGTAACCCTTTCTCCTGTATATATTACTAAATTTAAAAGGAGAAACTTTTGTTTTTCCTTTTGGGCCACCACACCTCAGTGGGATACGGCTGGTGCGTTGAAAGAAAGAAAGATCTGGGTTTTTTCTATTTTCTTACCAGTTGTTGTTCTTGTTTATTTCCACTTATCTTCATGGGGAAGTGGAACAGAATTCTTCCTACATAAGCCATGCATGTCATAAGAGGTGACTAACATGCCGGGAACAAGGGGCTAGTAACCCCTTCTCCTGTATACATTACTAAATTTAAAAATAGAAACTTGTTTTTCTTTTTTAGGTCACCCTGCCTCAGTGGAATACGTCCAGTTCATTGAAAAAAAAAAATCTTTATTTCTACAAGTACATGTACAAGGTATAGAGGCCTAGCTGACATCAATGACACACTACTATATAGAAAGCCCTTGTTATGCAGAGCATTTTGGGCAAATTAGGTCAATTTTATCCCAGGATGTGACCCACACCAGTTGACAAATACCCAGGTACCCACTTTTACTGATGGGTGAATATACACAACTGGTGTAAGGAAACATGCCCAATGTTTCTACCCTCACCGGGAATCGAACACGGACACTCAGCACGTGAAGTGAGAGCTTTTGCCACCAGGCCACAGGCCACCGTGAGAGTGGCCAGGAATGCCTACAATGTTTTTAGTGATTTCTTTTATTTTTTTATTAACACATCAGCTGTTTCCCACCGAGGTAGGGTGGCCCGAAAAAGAAAAACTCTCATCATTCACTCCATCACTGTTTTGCCAGAGGCATGCTGACACTACAGTTATAAATCTGCAACATAAACACCCATCCTTCAGCGTGCCGGCACTGTACTTCCTATCTTCAGGAATCAAGTCTGGCCTGCCGGTTTTCCTGAATCCCTTCATAAATGTTACCTTGCTTACACTCCAACAGCATGTCAAGCCCTAAAAACCATTTGTCTCCATATGCTCCTCTCTAACACACTCACGCACGCTTACTGGAAGTCCAAGCCCCTCGCGCGCAAAACCTCCTTTACACCCTCCCTCCAACCTTTCCTAGGCTGATCCCTACCCTGCCTTCCCTCCACTACAGATTCATACACTCTCAAAGTCATTCTATTTCATTCCAGCCTCTCTACATGTCCAAACCATCTCAATAACCCTTCCCGCACCTCCTCATCTGAAAACTATGGATTCTCTGCATTATATTCACACCACACTTTGCCCTCAGACACGACATCTCCACTGCCTCCAGCCTTCTCCTTGTTGCAACATTCACCACCCATGCCTCACACCCATACAAGAGCATTGGTATAACTATACTCTCGTACATTCCTGTCTTTGCTTTCATGGATAAAGTCCTTTGTCTCCACAGACTCCTCAGTGCAGCACTCACCTTTTTCCCCTCATCAATTTTATGATTCACCTCATTTTTTATAGACCCATCTGCTGACACATCCACTCCCAAATATCTGAATACATTCACCTCCTCCATACTCTCTCCCTCCAATCTGATATCCAATCTTCCATTACCTAATTTTTTTGTTTGTTTTCCTCATCACCTTACTCTTTCCAATATTCACATTTAATTTCCTTCTTTTACATACCCTACTAAACACATTTACTAACCTCTGCAATTCCTCTTTACAATCTCTCAAAAGCACAGTGTCATCATCAAAGAGCAACTGTGACAACTCCCACTTTGTGTTAGATTCTTTATCTTTTAATCCCATGCCTTTTGCCAACACCAGAGCATTCACTTCTCTTACAACCCCATCTATAAATATAATAAACAATCATGGTGACCTACTTTTACTGGAAAATAATCTCCCTCTCTCCTACAAACTCTAACCTGAGCCTCACTATCCTCATAAAAGCACTTCACTGCTTTCAGCAGCCTTCCTCCTATTCCATATATTTGCAATATATTTGCCTTTTCCAAAACACAAATGCCACAAAGACTTCTTTACCTTTATGTAAATACTGTTGACCTATATGTTTCACTATGAACACTTGGTCTACACACCCCCTACCCTTGTGTCACTTCTACTTTGTAAAAACCTCTCATATACTAACTTGTTCACTCTTACTACTCTGTTTATCTCATCATTCCACCAATCACTTTTCTTCCCTCCTGCACCTACTTTCCTGCAACCACCAACTTCTACTGAAAACTCTAACACTACTTTCTGAAATCTACCCCATACCTCTTCAACCTCATTGTCTATACTCCCGCTGGATCATCTTTCTTCCAATAGTTGTTTATATCTTACCCTAACCACCACCCCCTTTAGTTTATAAACCTTCACTTCTCTCTTGTTGATTATATTCTCCTTGCATCCCATCTTCCTTTTACTGCACTGTAGCTACAACTACACAATTTTTCTAACCACAAATACGTTATAAACTATATATTCTTACTCTCATTATTTGTAATCATAATTAAACTTTAAAGAAATAATTATCTGCATGTTTGTTCTCTTTGTAATGGCTAAATATGTTGTTTGTATATTTGTAATACCCATATATATAAGCAAATAGTAATTATTGCCATTGTAGGCTTAAGTTAGGCTTAAACTTGTCTGAAATGCTTTTCATAACCATGGGCTTTCTGCATGCACAACCAAATGTCAACCATCTCTGTGCAAACGTTGTATCATGTGGAAATAAATCTTCGACTTTGACTTGAAAATGGGCACAGTAATCACACACACACACATACAGTATAGAAATGGGCTTCTAAAAATAAATATTTTTACCCTATTGTTAATAGAAGTTATTTATGAATTAACTACATACATGAACTTTTTGTATTAACCTTTCAGGTGCAATGTAACAAGTTCTCCTGCGTGATGTATCAAAAAAGTAAGTAAAATCTGCTGGATCATCCTCAGGAAGCAATGTAGGCTTAATAGTTGCAAAGTCAGCCAGAAGAAGCCAATTCCATGAAGACACCATAACATTTTCCAATTTGATGTCTCCATGACAAACCTGATGATCAGAGAATTTGTGAGATAAACTAAGGTGTAGATATCAGTATCATACTTGATAATAATAAGGAATCTCTTTAGTTTTTCTGATGCCTATACTGTATTAACTTCAAGACTCTTTGGAAATGTGGATTAACATTCACTGCACCCTGTTAGTAACTTAACTGACCAGAACTTAATTCTACTGTTGTTCTGTACTTTTATGTTAGGAAAATAACTTCTTGCAAGACAATGTTACTTCAAAGAAAAATCACAATTAAAGATCAACTGATGATATCGAAGAAAGGAGTTATGCTAACAGAAAATACTGGTGAGATATAATGAACTCAACAAAAGATGTCAGTGATTTTACAAATGAGCAAGAGCTGGTACTAGTGACAGAATGAAAGATAATTAAAAAAGACTTAGCACACACTAAAACAACTAATGAGGAAGCGAGAGAACTCGAGATAAAAGATACTGTTCAAATTATTATGAAAGAGAAGATGTCATGATGGGTTTATACAGAATCTCATTTGATAAATGAGAAACTTGTGCAAGATTTGGGCACACTTGTGCAACATTTGGCAACATTTTGCCAGCCAGTGGCTTCTTCAGACCAGTGCAGAGAAAGGTGGACGATGAGGGGAAATTTGAGGTAATCAGTCCCACAATGACTTCAGGCTGAGGGAATGATTATCTCAAACTCCAACTTATCTTCCACCTTTCTCTGCACTGGACTAAAGAAACCACTGGCTAGTAAAACATTTTCAGAATAATGATACTCAAATGTTGCACAAGTTTCTCACTTATCAATTTGTTGGTTTTCTAAACTATTTATTCAGAATCTCTCGTCTCATTCTGAGGAAGCACTGTTCTGTCAGGACCTGGAATGTAACGTAACAACAGTCATGTTTTCTTTTTTGAGGAACCAAAGCAAAGAAAACAATAAAGATAAAGATAAACAAATGAAGAGTTGACTTACTCCCAGCTGGTGAGCTTGATTAAGGGCATAGAGGATCTGAAATGCCAGCCATTTTTTTTCAATAGTAGTGAGGAAGGGTCGTGTGGATATTCGGTCATATAGATTGCTCTTCACATACTGTCTGAACATCAACCCTGCCTTATCAGTTACCTGTTGAGCACAAAATTTATCAACAATAAAAACAATGTAGTGTAAAGCACCCTTCTGGCAAGACAGTGATGGAGTGAATGATGGTGAAAGTTTTTCTTTTTCGGGCCACCCTGCCTTGGTGGGAATCGGCCAGTGTGATAATAAAAAATATAAAAATAAAAAAAACATTATACCTATTAGATTAAAAAATAACAAATTCATATGAAAGGACTACCTTTTTTTTTTTTTAACATGTTGGCTGTTTCCCACAAAGCCAGGGAGACCCAAAAAGAAAGAAAAAAACCCATAACAAAAGAAAAAATTTTCATCACTCAACACTTTCACCATCACTCATAAATAATCACTGTCTTTGCAGAGGCACTCAGATACAACAGTTCAGATGTCCCTCCAAACTGCCAATATTCCAAATCCTCCTTTAAAGTGCAGGCATTGTACTTCCTATCTCCAGGACTCAGGTCAGACCTGCCAGTTTTCCCTAAATCCCCTCATAAACTCCAACAGCACATTAAGTCCTAAAAACCATTTGTCTCCTTTTGCTCCTATCTAACACGCTCATGCATGCTTGCTGGAAGTCCAAGCCCCTCGAACACAAAACTTCCTTTACCCCCTCCCTCCAACCTCTCCTAGGCTGACCCCTACCCCACCTTCCCTGCATTACAGATTCATGCACTCTCAAAGTCATTTCATTTTGTTCCATCCTCTCTATATGTTCAAACCACCTCAACAACCCCTCCTCAGCCCTCTAGACTATAGTTTTGGTAATCCGACACCTCCTAATTTCTAAACTGCAAATTCTTTGCATTATATTCACACCACACATTGCCCTCAGACACGACATCTCCGCTGCCTCTTGCCTTCTCCTTGCTGCAACATTCACTACGCATGCTTCACACCCATATAAGAGCGTTGGTATAACTATACTTTTATATATTTCCCTCTTTGTTTCCATGGACAAAGTTCTTTGTCTCCACAGACTCCTCAGTGCACCACTCGCCTTTTTCCCCTCATCAATTCTATGATTCACCTCATCTTTCAACTCATGTGTTTACTGATGAGAAAACCCTGGAATAGATTTGATTATCCATTGGTTTTCTGGCATGTATTAATTTTTTCAGGCTTGGTGCACCCCAAATTTCAATTAATATTGTGCTTAAAAAAGGCTTTCCAATGCCCAAATAAGTTTATTCCAGTTATTCTTTCTTCAGCAAACCTTATTTCTATACAGTACAGTTCATCATACAATTAGGGTAACTGACATTTATAAACTACTTATAGAAAGTCCTTCATTATGCAAAAAATTTTGGGCAGCGTTAAAACAAAAATTATGATACAAACCAGGTATAATAGTATGCTTAGTTTATGTTATATTGGCAGTATTCAGTAATTCAATAAAAAATCTAATTAGTGATGCATTAACCCTTTCAAGGTCCAGAGGCCAAATTTCCAAGTGTGCACCAAGGTCCAAGAATTTAAAAAAAAAAAAAAATTATTTTTTCTTTTGAAATGGTAGAGAATCTTTTTCTGAAGGTAATAAATCAAAAAGTACAAAATCTGATGGAAAGCTGACGAAATTATGCTCTCGCAAATCTTGATGTTTCAGCGGTATTTATGCACAGGTGATTTTGCCAAATTTGACTCCCATTTTAGGCCAATTACATTATTCCAGTCGACCAAATTCTTAGCCATTTCACTAGTATTACTTCCATTCTATCTACTGAGCACAAGAAATCACCAAGTCAACTGTTTCAACTATAAAATAAAGTGATCGGAAATTGGTAAATTTGGCCAATTTAACGCAAAGTTCAAAATATTCTAATTTCAAAATAGGGTCCAGAATAAAGAATGCAGGCATTCCTGGCACTAAACTAACATTTCCTCTGTTCATTAGTTATGTTTTCAGGCTTTACAAATGAATTCCATTTTGATTTTTTATTCACATAATGAATTTTTATTCAAACCAAAAAATAGAAGATTTACTGTTATGCAATATTGTAATAATTGTATAAATAATATCACCACATTTGTGAACATATATTAGACCCACTAGCTGGCGTGTATTAGACGTGTGAGGTCATTTGTTTACTCTTGAACATCGGCAAAAATTGAACATTTCTGCTACTTTGAGGTCAGTTTCAAGCCATTTCCAGTACTAAAACCAATCAAAATCACCTCTATTTCTGTAATATATCTTACATTCTATCAAATGAGACCAAGAAATCGCAAATACAACTATAAAAAAACATATGAAAAACACTGCAAAGTCGCTGTTTTAATAAAAAATTACGGTCAGTTTTTTCTCTCTCATTATGCACCGTGTACTGTAGGATTTGTTTTATGTGGTGCACACATGCCACATAGATGTATTCTCTCATATCTAGGCCAAAATTTACTGCTCACAGCTCATCATAGTGAGCTGAGCTCATGGCGTAGATCTATGGTTTGGACCCTCAACTCAAAGCCGTAGAACTACAGCACGGACCCTGAAAGGGTTAAGTAAGAAGCTAGGTACCCATGTTAATAAAATGATGAAACAAGACCAGGGACAATATTGGATGAAAGACAATGTTTTTGGGTTTCAGGAATTGTTTGGCATAATAAATTGCTGTCAGGATAATGAATTGTTGTCAGGATAGCATTAAGGTAAGAAGGTGTTTTTTAACAGTAGCTCCAAAGTGACTGGCAGAGTGAGAGAGACCGGAATCTTCAGGTATAAAGATCCAGATTTTAGATCCTTTTATGCACAATGAGTTTTTTCACAGGTTAAGTCAGACACAGGAATATCATAAGAGATTTTTGTGTCTAGTATTTTTGCCTATGAATTCTGTTGCAACTCTCAAGAGTTTTAGGGCAGAACTAATATTAGTATTAATTATCCTGTATATGTAGTATGAATAGCAGCATGACTAAATTTATGTATATTAAGTATGTTTAGATTTTTGAAGAGTCTGAGTGTGTGTTGTCTGGCACTAGACTGGGTAATCAATCGTACAGCTGCTTTTTGTTGTGTTATTATTGGCTTAAGGTGATTTTCTGCAGTGGATCCCTAGGCACAAATAGTGTAGGTGAGGTAGGGATAGATCAGAGTAGTATAATGTAAGTAATGTTGTTTGAGATACATAGTAACATATATTGGAGAGGATACCAACTGATATGGATACTTTTTTGTCGTGTGCTGAATGTGAGAGTTGAATTTCAAGTTGCTGTCAAAGAATGGCCCTAAGAATTTTCCTTCATTTTGTCTTGCAAGGGGAGAACTGTTGATCATAACATTTAGTTGGACATTTGTAGCTCTGTTCCCTAACATCACAAAGGGAGTCTTGTTAATGTTAAGAGTGAGTTTGCTAGTAGTCATCCAGGTAGATATCTTTATGAGCTCCTCATTAACAATTATTGAGAGAGGTCAGATTTGGGTGGGAGATGACAAAAGTTGTCATCTTCAAACAGAACAGGCTTAAGTATTAGTTATTTAGGAACATCAGTCTTCTCTTTCCACAACACTGCATCTTCATACTGTAACTGCCAGACTGTTATTAAACATTCTTCCTTGTGTGATTTCAAGGACAAAAAAGAAAAAAAAAAAAAAAAAAAAGGTTTTGCCAAGATATATATCTGATGCATAAGACACAGGATATTTTCTCAGTACAGTGGGCACTCGGATTAAATTGTCATCGGAATGAGTAATATTCGGAATAAGTAATGCTTTTGCGTCAAAATATTGTCTCAGTGAATGTCACTGAACTCGGTATAAGTCATTTATCCAGAGCGTGTCTGCGTGGGCTGAGTGGCCCAGACACTCCATGTACAGCCAGTGTGCCATTGTTTATCAGCCAGTGAGGACGATCCCATGCGTTCATATGATACATTTTGTATTCCATTCTTTTTAGTGCTTGTAACTGCTAAATAAGCCACCAAGGGCCCAAAGAAATCTTCTAGCACCAGCCCTTTGGTACAGATGGTGAGGAACACTATAGAATTCAAGAAAGAGATCACTGCAAAATATGAAAGTGGAGTGTGTGTTGCCGAGCTGGCCAGGTTGTGTAACAAACCCCATACAACCATCGATACTATCGTGGCCAAGAAAAATGCAATCAAGGAAGCTGTTGTTGCAAAAGGTGCAAATATGCTTACAAAACAGAGATTGCAAATACTGGAAGATGTGGAGACTTTGTTGTTGGTGTGGATCAACGAGAAACAATTATCAGGAGATAGTGTTATGCAGTCAATAATATGTGAAAAGGCAAGGCAGATGCATGATGATCTCATAAAGAAAATGCCTGGAACTAGTGTTCATATTGGTGAATTTAAGGCCAGCAAAGGCTGGTTTGAGAGACTTAAGAATCATAGTGGCATACACAGTATGATAAGGTATGCTGAGGCTGCCAGTTCTGACAAAAAAGCAGCTGAAAAATATGTTCAGGAATTGAAGGGGTACATAGAGGCTGAAAAATTAAAACACCAACAAGTGTTCAGTTGTGATGAAACAGGTCTCTCTTGGAAGAAAATGCCAAAGAGGACCTACATTACTTAGGAGGAAAAGGCACTCCCAGGATACAAGCCTATGAAAGACAGGCTAACTCTCATGTTTTGTAGTAATGCTAGTGGGGATTTCGAAGTGAAGCCTTTACTGGTGTATCACTCTGAAAATCCCAGAGTGTTTAAGAAAAACAGTGCTGTCAAGAGTAAATTGAATGTGATGTGGAAGGCAAACAGTAAGGCATGGGTCACGAGCGACATTTTCCTTGATTGGTTCCAGGACGTGTTTGGCCCCAGTGTTAAAAAGTACCTCCTGGAAAATTAATTGGAACTTGAGTGCCTCCTGGTAATAGACACTGCTCCTGCTCATCCTCCAGACTTGGAAGAGCGAATGGTGCAGGAGTTCTGTTTTATCAAAGTCAAGTTCTTGCCCCCTAATACCACTCCTCTCCTCCAGCCCATGGACCAGCAGGTCATCTCAAATTTCAAAAAACTGTACACCAAAGCAGTGTTTCAAAAGTGCTTTGAAGTGACCTCAGACACTGAATTGACCCGGAGAGAGTTCTGGAAAGATCACTTCAGTATCCTCAATTTCAAAAACCTTATAGGTAATGCTTGGGAGGGAGTGACTTCCAGGACTTTGAACTATTCTTGGAGAAAATTGTGGCCAGAATGTGTACAAAAGAAGGATTTTGAAGGGTTTGGGGCTGACCCTGAGGAGACTATGCCAGTTGTGGAATCTATTATGGCATTGGGGAATTCCATGGGGTTGGATGCGAGTTTGGAGGATGTGGAAGAGTTGGTGGAGGACCACAACAAAGAGCTAACCACTACAGAGCTGCAAGACCTTCATCTGCAACAGCAACAGACCACAGCTCAGGAAAATGTTTCAGAGGAGGAGGAAGAGAGATGGAGGAAGTTGCCTTCTTCAAAGCTAAGGACATTTGTGCAAAGTGGACAAAGGTGCAAACATTTATGGATGAACATCACCCTGACACAGCTATTGCAGGCTGTGTTGGCAACATGTACAATGACAATGTTGTGTCCCATTTTAGGGAAATCTTGAAGACACGCCAGAAACAAAGCACTCTAGACAGATATTTCGTGCGACAGGGGTCCAGTGACTCTCAAACTGGTCCTAGTGGCATTAAAAAACAAAGAAGGGAAGTAATCCCAGAAAAGGACTTGGTACCTGAAGTCTTTATGGAAGGGGATTCCCGTTCCAAACAATAGTACACCTCCATACTCTCCCCTCCTCCCATCTCATCACTCATCAATAAGTCTTCAATAAGGGTAAATGTCATTTTAGTAATGTTTTACTCTGCATGTCTCATTGTTTTCTGTGTAGGGAAATGTATATTTCATGTAAAAAAATTATTTTGTTTAATACTTCTGGGTGTCTGGAACGGATTAATTGGATTTCCATTATTTCTTATGGGGAAAATTAACTCGGAATAAGTCAGATTCGGGATAAGTCACTCTCTCTGGAATGGATTAATTACATAATCCAGGGGTCCACTGTATTAGTAAAGTCATGCAGCACTATATCAGAACCATTTATAATATGCACACACAAATTTAATGTGTCACATTCATTTAAGCCTTAAACTGTCCAAACGTAGATCTATGTTCACATGCGTAGTGCTCCGAACGTAGATCTACTTTTTTTACATGAGAAAACATGTAAAATCAAACATAGATCTATGTTCAGAGCGCTACGCATGTGAATGTAGATCTACATTTGGACAGTTTAAGGGTTAACCACACACTCACAATAAGCCAATCCCAAGTTAAAGGTTAAGCACATCAGGAGAGACACTGAAGCAATAATCAAAATTAATTTACCTATGCAGTAGGGTCCCGTTTTACGGTGTTCCGCTAATACGGACATTTCAAATTATGACCAGAACTCGCTATACAGTTCCCCCCACCTTACTTTCTAATACGGTCACCACGTCTCACCTGGTTTGTTTACATTCTCCTTGAGCTCCATGAGCACCGCGTCTCTCCATTATGTCTGGAAACTTTCCAAAATTTCAAGTGTTTTAAAGTTATTTCATGTTTTATATATACAGTGGTACCTCGAGTTACGAACTTAATTCGTTCCAGAAGGCTGTTCGAGTGCCAATACTGAACGAATTTGTTCCCATAAGGAATAATGTAAATTAGATTAGACTGTTTCGGACCCCCAAAAATACACTTACAAAAGCACTTACAAAAATACACTTACATAATTGCTTGACTTGGGAGCTGTTTGAAACTCGAATTACCACTGTACTCTGGTAATTATACTTGTGTGTACCTGTACCTACTCATTTACTCATTCTCTTTTTTGTTTATTCGTCTCATCTCATTTACTCACCTCTCCCCCTACATTAAGAACTATAAATATTTTAAGGTAAGTCATGAGTGAACTGTATATGCATTTTATCACTTTGGGACGCTTTAAATGTTAAGCGGATAGGGTTGGGTGGCCTGGCTGGCTACCATACCTATGGCACCTGATTTCTTACTATAAATACTACTCATCTCGCTCTACATTAAGACTACAAATATTTTAAGGTAAGTAATGAGTGTACTATATGTGTATTTCTTTTTTATTGTTTTTTAATGCCTAGTTCTATTGCTAACTTAAATTAGTGTAAACTTATTATCTAGCATTTATATGCCTTTGTAAGTGGGGAAAAAAGGGTGTTCCACTCTATGGCGATTTCCGCTTTACGGCGGTAGCCTGGAACCTAACCTGTCATATAAGTGGGGCCCTACTGTATCTCTGAAGCTTCATTCATTATGGGTATTCATTTTGATAAATGACCATTTAAGAAAAAAGGTTTCCTACTTCCTATTTAATCCTTTGACTGTAGCGACCCCAAATTCTAAAGTGTCTCTCTGTCACATTAAAAAAAAAAAAATTCTTATGAAATGACAAGAGATTCTTTTCCCGATGGTAATGGCACCAAAAGTATGAAATCTGATGGAAAACTTACGGAAATACGCTCTTGCAAAGTTAGCGATCTCAGCGATACACATGCATTGGCGATTTCACCCAGTTTGAGCCCTATTTTCAGCCAATTCCACTGTTCCAGTTGACCAAACTCATAGCTATTTCTTTAAAACTCCATTCATTCTATCGATTGAGTACAAGAAACCACCCATTTACTGATTTCAACTACACAAATTTGGCCAATTTCACACAAATTAAATGCCAATTTTAAAATAGGGTTCAGAATAAACAATGCAGACATTCCTGGCACTAAAATAACATTTTCTCTGTTCATCAGTCACATCTCCAGGCCCCTCTTATATTACTCAAATTATATTATATATTATATTACACAAATTTGGCCAATTTCACACAAATTAAATGCCAATTTTAAAATAGGGTTCAGAATAAACAATGCAGACATTCCTGGCACTAAAATAACATTTTCTCTGTTCATCAGTCACATCTCCAGGCCCCTCTTATATTACTCTTGCTTTCTATTTTGAATTTTTATTCACACAAAAAATAGATTTACTGTTATGCAGACTACTGCATTATTGTAATAATTGTATAAATAATGTCAACCCATTCATGATTGTGTATTGGACTGGCCAGTTGGACACGTATTGGATGGTGATGTCATTTGTTTACTCTTGAACATCGGCAAAAATTGAACATTTCCGCTAATATGAGCTCAATTTCAAGGTCCTTTTCATCGTGAAACCAATCAAAATCATCTCTATTTCTGTAATATGTTTTCCATTCTATCAAATGAGACCAAGAAAATGAGAATACAACAATAAATACTATACAAAAATACACCTCAAATTCGGCATTTTAATCCAAAAACACGGTTGGAGTTTTTTTTTTTCCTTATTATGCACTGTGTGCTGCAGGATTTTTTTTATACTGCAGAAACTGACCACACAGACCCATTCTCTCACATGTAGGCCTACCAGCTTTCTCCCGCTTGATTTGAAGCGTATTAATACGTCACAAACGCTTGCTTGTAAGACATATATGTACGACCGAAACAGTTAAAGGGTCAGATGTACCTCACTGGCTTGTTCCATTCCTAACGTGCATTCTTGAGACTATCTTTTCCTCCCTATATTTATCTTGGCCAATAATAACTTAATTTTTACTTGCCTTCAAATAGTGAAACTGTAGACAATTGGCAGCTATTATCAGTTTTGTAGAAACATCTTCTATTATTTTCTTGTAAGCAGATAGCTGCAGTGTTGTATCGTGTATAACAAATATCTTTACAACCACCAGGCCTTCCCAGGTTTGGCATTTGGCCACCTTCAAAAAACGTGTACTCCCTAAACTGTGGATGAAAAAGAAAAGTTATTAGCACTTACCAATCAAGGAAAATTCTTTTAAACAACTAAATTTCTACATAAAAGTTAAATTTGCAAGTTGGAGCAGAAAGGTTGGAGGCAAAGCAGGTGTGAGGAGGGATTTGAGTACTATGGGGTTGTACATCTAACATGGGGACAAGTAGTTTCTGTGATGATGTGCTGTTGTAGTTTGAGCAGGGTAACACTTAAGAAGGAATTCAGGGAGACTGGTTAGCTGTATTAGAATCCTGGAGGAAGACAGTGCAATGTCTGCATTCTAAAGGTGCCAAATGCTTCCGTGCCACACACTGTTCGAGGCTCAATAGTAGGATTTGGTTTATATAGATTCCTATTTTATCTGTTTGTATTACAATGGTTTGCAGCAGATGCAAATGTTTGGTAGTCTTTATAGTACGTCAAGGGTAGAACATAAAGTTACGAGAATAATTAAATATGGGCTGATATTGCTTACCTATATATACTTCCATTCTTACATTCAAGGGAGAGTGCTAAGCCTGTAGGGGGTTATACAGTGCCTGGGGGAATGTTAAGACATTCAGGCTTGATTCCAGGAATCAAAGCACAATGTTTACATATAATACGATACTGTTTACCTAACGTACATTTTTTAATATTATCTTGAGGACCAAACATGGCAACACAAGTATTAAGGAAATAAAACTGTTAACTCTTGTAATTAAGTACAGTGGTACCCCATGTTTCAGCCATAATTTGGTCCAGAAGGCTGTTCGAGTGCCGTTACCGAACGAATTTGTTCCCATAAGGAATAATGTAAATTAGATTAGTCTGTTTCTGACCCCCAAAAATACTTACAAAAGCACTTACAATAATACCCTTACATAATTGTTCGATGAATGGTTTGAAAAACCGACAAGTTGAAGATTGAGACACTTATGCAACATATGGGAATCTTTATTCCTGAATAAAGATTCCCATATGTTGCATAAGTGTCTCATTCTTCATAATTGTTCGAGTTGGAAGCTGTATGAAACTCGGGGTACCACTGTATTAGAAGTACAATAAAACCTTGGTATAACAGATCTCCATAAAGCAGATACATGTACCTGATAAAACAGACAAAAAAAACTGGCAAGACTAAGGCTCAACCTGTCTGCAGCATGGGTGTCCAGTAAAAATAGCAGTGCAGCAGACCAAGTCTAGTGCATCAAACAGCTGTCTGGTCCACTCATACCCCCAATGAAGAGAGTTTTAGATTTTGCCACCGAAGTGGCTAGTTTATTGTGCACCCCATATCCATCCTCTGGATGGTAAAGAAAGAGCATATGGATACACAAAAGGCCTAGGAACTACGCCCCAAAAGGGTTAACAGGTGTACATATGGATTTATATCTACATATCTACAGTTCACTTATCTGTTACAAGCAAATTTAGGAAATTTGCTTAGTATATCTGGTATCTTATTTTCATTAAAAAGATACCTTGACATGTCACATAGGTTATTATACTGTCTATCTCTGTATACCTCAATAAGTGGACAATTAAGCACAGTGTTCAAGACAGTGACTATATGCCTGATCACAAAATTTGCATTTAGTTTGATCATCATCTGTTTGTCTCCCAGACTGCCAGAAGTACTTGTAACCAAGCCTAAGCCTGGCCACTACAACATCAGTCAGTCTGTTCACATTGCAAGTTGCTCCATAAACATATTTATCTACGTTCATGTTATCACTGAGGGTTATAGATCTACTCAGGCTTCTAACTGTATTCCTATAACAATCATTTTCATTATTTCCTTCTCTCCTAATATTATTCCTAATGCTAGACACAGATCTACCAAAGTTATATTCTACATTCTCCTTCAGGGTACTCTTCTTGGCTAACATATCAACTTTATCATGGAGTAATCCAATGTGTGATGGGATCCATAGCAATTGTACATTAATTCCTTTGTCCCTGATTTTAGAGTATCTATACCTGGCTTCTCCAATGAGCATGCTGTTAGAGTCATTATATGAGTTAAGAGCTTCAGTGATGACACAGAATAAGTAATGATGACAGAGTCAAGCTCAGTGTCATAAGTTAGCTTTAGCACCATTAGGATTGCAAACAATTCAGTTTGCAGTGTAGATGCCCAGTTAATTCTTATGCCTAGTTCAACAAATTTATTTTCGTTCTCATCTAGGGGGATGGCAACAAGAGCAGATGCAGCCCTGCCAGAAGACTCTTGTTTAGAGCCATAAGTGTATATAACTTGTGATAACTTATTACTACCAGCTAAGCGAGAAATTTCTTCTTGAGAAGTTGTTTTAACAAGTTATTTAAGGAAGGGATTACTAGCAATGAGCTTATTGGGAGGGACTTGCAGGTGAAGAGGACCAATTAAATGTCATTGCAAGTTCGTCCAAGTCAGGCTTTGTCCTGGACATGTCCATTTCCACTGTTCCTCGGAAGACAGTGACTCAACCCATGTCAGTTTGTTACTGTCTGCATGTGCTCGCGTATTATTCTCGTTTGGTCTAAATTTTCCCTGAATTAACAGTGCTTTCTTTTCTTTATTAGAGTACCCTGTACTGTGTTATTAAGAACATCTTCTAAAGCAAGTGGTAGTGCCAAGAAGTACTTGAACTTGAATGATTCGTTGGTATGTGTCCTGGCCCAGGTCTTTTCAGATGGTGTGAAGTGTGTGACCTTGACTGTTAACCTTTTCAGGGTCGACAGGTCCTCTCAGAGACTTGTTCTCAGGGTCGCCCAAATTTAAAAAAAAAAAAAAAAAAATTCTTATGAAAAGATAGAGAATCTGTTCCCGATCATAATGACACCAAAAGTATGAAATTTGATGGAAAACTTACGGAATTATGCTCTCACGAAGTAAGCGGTCTCAACGATATTTACGCATTGGCGATTTTCCCCACTTTGAGCCCTATTTTCGGCTAATTCCAGTGTACGAGTCAACAAAAATCATAACTATTTTGCTAGAACTCCATTTTTTCTATTGAATGAGTACAAGAAACCACCCATTTACCAATTTCAACTATCCAATGCAGTGGTCAGAATTTAGCAATTTTGCCAATTTCACACAAATTTCAAAAGATGCCAATTTCCGAATAGGGTCCAGAATAAACAAGAAAGACATTCCTGGCACTAAAATAACATTTCCTCTGTTCATTAGTCACGTCCCCACGCCACTCTTACATTCTTTTGCTTTCCACTTTGAATTTTTATTCTCAGGGATATCTTGCTACTCCTACTTACACTTTGGTCACACTTCACAGACACGCACATGCATATATATACATATACATCTAGGTTTTTCTCCTTTTTCTAAATAGCTCTTGTTCTTCTTTATTTCTTCTATTGTCCATAGGGAAGTGGAAAAGAATCTTTCCTCCGTAAGCCATGCGTGTCGTATGAGGCGACTAAAATGCTGGGAGTAATGGGCTAGTAACCCCTTCTCCTGTAGACATTTACTAAAAAAGAGAAGAAGAAAAACTTTATAAAACTGGGATGCTTGAATGTGCGTGGATGTAGTACGGATGACAAGAAACAGATGATTGCTGATGTTATGAATGAAAAGAAGTTGGATGTCCTGGCCCTAAGCGAAACAAAGCTGAAGGGGGTAGGGGAGTTTCGGTGGGGGGAAATAAATGGGATTAAATCTGGAGTATCTGAGAGAGTTAGAGCAAAGGAAGGGGTAGCAGTAAAGTTGAAGAATCAGTTATGGAAGGAGAAGAGAGAATATGAACGTGTAAATTCAAGAATTATGTGGATTAAAGTAAAGGTTGGATGCGAAAAGTGGGTCATAATAAGTGTGTATGCACCTGGAGAAGAAAGGAATGTAGAGGAGAGAGAGAGATTTTGGGAGATGTTAAGTGAATGTATAGGAACCTTTGAACCAAGTGAGAGAGTAATTGTGGTAGGGGACCTGAATGCTAAAGTAGGAGAAACTTTTAGAGAGGGTGTGGTAGGTAAGTTTGGGGTGCCAGGTGTAAATGATAATGGGAGCCCTCTGATTGAACTTTGTATAGAAAGGGGTTTAGTTATAGGTAATACATATTTTAAGAAAAAGAGGATAAATAAGTATACAAGATATGATGTAGGGCGAAATGACAGTAGTTTGTTGGATTATGTGTTGGTAGATAAAAGACTGTTGAGTAGACTTCAGGATGTACATGTTTATAGAGGGGCCACAGATATATCAGATCACTTTCTAGTTGTAGCTACACTGAGAGTAAAAGGTAGATGGGATACAAGGAGAATAGAAGCATCAGGGAAGAGAGAGGTGAAGGTTTATAAACTAAAAGAGGAGGCAGTTAGGGTAAGATATAAACAGCTATTGGAGGATAGATGGGCTAATGAGAGCATAGGCAATGGGGTCGAAGAGGTATGGGGTAGGTTTAAAAATGTCGTGTTAGAGAGTTCAGCAGAAGTTTGTGGTTACAGGAAAGTGGGTGCAGGAGGGAAGAGGAGCGATTGGTGGAATGATGATGTAAAGAGAGTAGTAAGGGAGAAAAAGTTAGCATATGAGAAGTTTTTACAAAGTAGAAGTGATGCAAGGAGGGAAGAGTATATGGAGAAAAAGAGAGAGGTTAAGAGAGTGGTGAAGCAATGTAAAAAGAGAGCAATTGAGAGAGTGGGCGAGATGTTATCAACAAATTTTGTTGAAAATAAGAAAAAGTTTTGGAGTGAGATTAACAAGTTAAGGAAGCCTAGAGAACAAATGCATTTGTCAGTTAAAAATAGGAGAGGAGAGTTATTAAATGGAGAGTTAGAGGTATTGGGAAGATGGAAGGAATATTTTGAGGAATTGTTAAATGTTGATGAAGATAGGGAAGCTGTGATTTCGTGTATAGGGCAAGGAGGAATAACATCTTGTAGGAGTGAGGAAGAGCCAGTTGTGAGTGTGGGGGAAGTTCATGAGGCAGTAGGTAAAATGAAAGGGGGTAAGGCAGCTGGGATTGATGGGATAAAGATAGAAATGTTAAAAGCAGGTGGGGATATAGTTTTGGAGTGGTTGGTGCAATTATTTAATAAATGTATGGAAGAGGGTAAGGTACCTAGGGATTGGCAGAGAGCATGCATAGTTCCTTTGTATAAAGGCAAAGGGGACAAAAGAGAGTGCAAAAATTATAGGGGGATAAGTCTGTTGAGTATACCTGGTAAAGTGTATGGTAGAGTTATAATTGAAAGAATTAAGAGTAAGACGGAGAATAGGATAGCAGATGAACAAGGAGGCTTTAGGAAAGGTAGGGGGTGTGTGGACCAGGGGTTTACAGTGAAACATATAAGTGAACAGTATTTAGATAAGGCTAAAGAGGTCTTTGTGGCATTTATGGATTTGGAAAAGGCGTATGACAGGGTGGATAGGGGGGCAATGTGGCAGATGTTGCAGGTGTATGGTGTAGGAGGTAGGTTACTGAAAGCAGTGAAGAGTTTTTACGAGGATAGTGAGGCTCGAGTTAGAGTATGTAGGAAAGAGGGAAATTATTTCCCAGTGAAAGTAGGCCTTAGACAAGGATGTGTGATGTCACCGTGGTTGTTTAATATATTTATAGATGGGGTTGTAAGAGAAGTAAATGCGAGGGTCTTGGCAAGAGGCGTGGAGTTAAAAGATAAAGAATCACACACAAAGTGGGAGTTGTCACAGTTGCTCTTTGCTGATGACACTGTGCTCTTGGGAGATTCTGAAGAGAAGTTGCAGAGAATGGTGGATGAATTTGGTAGGGTGTGCAAGAGAAGAAAATTAAAAGTGAATACAGGAAAGAGTAAGGTTATGAGGATAACAAAAAGATTAGGTGATGAAAGATTGGATATCAGATTGGAGGGAGAGAGTATGGAGGAGGTGAATATATTCAGATATTTGGGAGTGGACGTGTCAGCGGATGGGTCTATGAAAGATGAGGTGAATCATAGAATTGATGAGGGGAAAAGGGTGAGTGGTGCACTTAGGAGTCTGTGGAGATAAAGAACTTTGTTCTTGGAGGCAAAGAGGGGAATGTATGAGAGTATAGTTTTACCAACTCTCTTATATGGGTGTGAAGCATGGGTGATGAATGTTGCAGCGAGGAGAAGGCTGGAGGCAGTGGAGATGTCATGTCTGAGGGCAATGTGTGGTGTGAATATAATGCAGAGAATTCGTAGTTTGGAAGTTAGGAGGAGGTGCGGGATTACCAAAACTGTTGTCCAGAGGGCTGAGGAAGGGTTGTTGAGGTGGTTCAGACATGTAGAGAGAATGGAGCGAAACAGAATGACTTCAAGAATGTATCAGTCTGTAGTGGAAGGAAGGCAGGGTAGGGGTCAGCCTAGGAAAGGTTGGAGGGAGGGGGTAAAGGAGGTTTTGTGTGCGAGGGGCTTGGACTTCCAGCAAGCGTGAATGAGCGTGTTTGATAGGAGTGAATGAAGACAAATGGTTTTTAATACTTGACGTGCTGTTGGAGTGTGAGCAAAGTAACATTTATGAAGGGGTTCAGGGAAACCGGCAGGCCGGACTTGAGTCCTGGAGATGGGAAGTACAGTGCTTGGACTCTGAAGGAGGGGTGTTAATGTTGCAGTTTAAAAACTGTAGTGTAAAGCACCCCTCTGGCAAGACAGTAATGGAGTGAATGACGGTGAAAGTTTTTATTTTTCGGGCCACCCTGCCTTGGTGGGAATCGGCCAGTGTGATAATAAAAAATATAATAAAAATACAGAAGATTTACTGTTATGCATACTACTGCATTGGTGTAAAAATGGTATAAACATTATCAGTGCATTTGTGAAAGAATATTAGACTCACCAGTTGAGGTGTATTGGACACTTGGCATGATTTGTTTACTTTTGAACTTTGGTAAAAATCAAACATTTCTGCTACTTTGAGCACAATTTCAAGGTAGTTTTCTTTGTAAAACCAGTCAAAATCATCTCAATTTCTGTAATATGTCTTCCATTCTATAAAATGAGACCAGGAAAACTAGAATACAACAATAACACCCATACAAAAATACAGTGCAAAGTCAATGTTTTAATCCAATAACACAAAGTTTTTTTTTCTCATTACGCACTGTGTGCTGCAGGATTTTTTTTATACCACGCACACTGACCACATAGACCCATTCTTTCATATGTAGGCCTACCAGCTTTCTCTCACTAGATTTGAGGGCACTAGAATTTAGGCGTACTAGTACATCAAAAACCCTGGTGCGTAAGCCATACTAGTATGGCCGAAACCCTGAAAGGGTTAAGCAAGAACTTGAATTAATAAGGAACCTGGAAGCAGGTATTGCAGTAGCCAGGTGTGTTAGAAGGACGGTATACCGAAACAGCATCTAACATTTGAAGAAGCACTTACATCATATGCTACAAAGTACAGTGCAGATCTTTAGTTATTCCTAGGAAGCATATGAATATAGTCCAATATACACTGGCCAAAAAAGCAGTGCATAAATGGTATGCTCAACAGTACATTACTTGCATTAACACTCCTTCTGTTAAGCTTTGCTCTGCTGCTAAGACACTATCAAGGCATAAAAGGCATAGAATCTGGGGCAAATGATAGTTGGCTTTCTTGTTACCTTAAATACTATGGCTTGATTAACAGATAAACTTCTTGTGAAGCTGGTAGTGCACCCACAGATGAAAAAAACCCATTTAGAGTACAGTGGACCCCCGACATTCGATATTAATCCGTTCCTGAGAGCTCATTGAATGTCGAAAATACCAAAAGTCGAATTAATTTTCCCCATAAGAAATAATGGAAATCAAATTAATTTGTGCAAGACACCCAAAAGTGTGAAATTTTTTTTTTTATTTATCCACACCAATAACAGTCTCTCAACATCTAACACTAGCGATCTCTGTTTCGAAAACAAAGTTGCACCTTTTGCAACAACAGCTTCCTTGATTGCCGTTTTCCTGCTCACTATAGTAGAGATGGTTGATTGGGGTTTACTATACAGCCTGGCCAGCTCCGGCACATGCACTCCACTTTCGTACTTAGCAATTATCTCTTTCTTCATTTCAATAGTCATTAGCACCTTTTTTCTCGAAGGGTTGGCACTAGAAGCTTTCTTGGGGCCCATGGTTACTTATTTTGCAGAAACAAGCACCAAAAAACAGTGATAATATGGATAATATGGAATGTACCGAATGTATCCTTATATGCGCTCACACTGGCACACATGGGGCAGTTCAGGCCACACGTGGGCATGTCCCCTCACACTCTGATGGAGTGTGAGGGGACCCTTCTATCCCAACTATAAAATGCTGGTGAGATTGGTCTATTTTGGCAACTGCTACCTTCCCACACTCTAGCTTTTTAGCATAACAAAAAAAGGCACAATACCGTCACTGGAAAGATACACATATAACCAGCACATAGAAGAGAGGAGCTTACGACAATGTTTCAGTCCAACTTGGACCATTTACAAAGTCACACTAACGAGAAGTAGAGCAGGAAAGGTATATATAGGCAGGAAGTGGTAGTGGTAGTAGTAGTGGAGCTTTAACATCAGTATTTAATTTTACTTGCCTTGCTTCATAGTGAATATCTGGAAGATCTGACAGGTAGGTTTCCACTGGGAATATCTGTGATGGGGCAATGCCTGCCAGCTGATTCCCCATTATGATTTTTGTTGTCTGAAAAATACTAGTGTGCATTAGTTTCTAAAGTACTATTAAATTTTATACACTTATGCTTTACTATTAGCTTTTCAATTATGTAAAATTAATAAGCATTTGACATGTGGTAACCACTATTTTTTAAGTTGTACATGCCTAAAACATGCAAGATAGTATATATATTTAGGGTCTGGCATTATACATGTCATTAAATTATGACCACAATTCTGTAACTCACAAATTTCAATTCACTTTATTTTCAATTAAGGATAAAATAGAAAGAAGCATTGTGTGTTCTGTGCATGCATCCGCTTCACCCAGCAATAATAAAATAAGCAGTAGACCAAGAAATTTTAACACCACTTATGCAAATGTGCCTGATAGTTGTTCGGAGAGTCAAATAACTTAAAGCGTAATTTTCAGAGAATTTGCATTAACAGCTTAGGTGGTGCAACCTTTTCCTTTTCAAGGCTTTTTATATCTAATACAGAAGGCTTCAAACATCTGATCACTATTACTACTGTCACTGCTTCATACACACCTTCCACTTCATTGACTCCCTTCTACAGAGGGCCCCACTTTATGGTGTTTCACTTTTCGGTATTCCATTAATTTATGGTTTTCAACTATACCCATTGTTCATTACATTTGGTACTTGTTTCACTTTTTCTACGTTTTTCAACCCGACGCACTCATCACCTGAGCCAGGAAAGGGCGTCTGGTGTCATTTTATTGTTGGTGCACTCTGCATCTCTCTGTATTCAGGCAATTTTCCAAAGTTTCAAACATTTTAAAGTTATTACAAGAGGGCCCAGCTTATATACAGCAAGTTAGGGCATTGCTCTAAAGCAAAAATCACTGTAAAGTGAAACATAGCCTTTTTGTTACTTTCAAATGCATGTGAAAGCCTGTTAACATGTTTACACTATCGTATATTTAGTGAGCAATAGAGTTAAGCTTAAAAAATGCATATAAAGTACATACATTACTTAACTTATTTACCTTCTTAGCTTATAGTAGGAAGTCTGAATAAATGAAGAATGGGTATAACTGAAAACTTTTGCTTTAGCAGAATGCTGTAAAGAGAAACACTGTAAAGTGGAGACCACCTGTATGTATATTTTATTTAATCCTGTTGTGTTTATTACAATGGCATCTAAGCATAGTTATGATAAAATGAGGAGTCATAAGCCTCTTAGTTTAACCCTTTCGGGGTTTCGGCCGTACTAGTACGGCTTATGCACCAGGGTTTTTGACATACAAGTATGCCTAAATTCTAGTGCCCTCAAATCTAGTGAGAGAAAGCTGGTAGGCCTACATATGAAAGAATGGGTCTACGTGGTCAGCGTGCGCAGTATAAAAAAAAATCCTGCAGCACACAGTGCGTAATGAGAAAAACAAAACTTTGACCGTGTTTTTGGATTAAAACAGCGACTTTGCACTGCATTTTCGTATGGTATTTATTGTTGTATTCTAGTTTTTCTGGTCTCATTTTATAGAATGGAAGACATTACAGAAATTGAGATGATTTTGACTGGTTTTACAATGAAAAGTACTTTGAAATTGAGCTCAAAGTAGCAGAAATGTTAAATTTTTACCAAAGTTCAAAAGTAAACAAACCATTTCTACACTAATGCAGTAGTCTGAATAACAGTAAATCTTCTATTTTATGTGAGAATAAAAATTCAAAGTGGAAAGCAAAAGAATTTAAGAGGGGTGTGGGGACGTGACTAATGAACAGAGGAAATGTTATTTTAGTGCCAGATATGTCTTTCTTGTTTATTCTGGACCCTATTTGGAAATTGGCATCTTTTGAAATTTGTGTGAAATTGGCAAAATTGCTAAATTCTGACCACTGTATTGGATAGTTGAAATCGGTAAATGGGTGGCTTCTTGTACTCATTCGATATAGAAAATGGAGTTCTAGCAAAATAGTTATGATTTTTGTCGACTCGTACACTGGAATTGGCTGAAAATAGGACTCAAAGTGGGCAAAATCGCCGATGCGTAAACATCATCGAGACCGCTAATTTCGCGAGAGCATAATTCCGTAAGTTTTCCATCAAATTTCATACTTTTGGTGTCATTATGATTGGGAAAAGATTCTCTATCTTTTCATAAGAAAAAATAATTTTTGTTTTTGAAAATTTGGCAACCCTGAGAACAGGTCTCAGAGAGGACCTGGCAACCCTGAAAGGGTTAAATGTCACATTAGAAATTATTAAATTCAGTAAGCAAGGTATGTCTATAGCTGAGACAGAATGTAAGCTAGGTTTGGCACACAAAACGGTTAGTACAATTGTGAACTCTAATGAAAAAGTGTTGATGGAAATTAAAAGTGCTACATCAGTGTACGTTAAAGTTATAAATGCTACCTTGGAGTGTGAATAAGGTAACATTTATGAAGGGATTCAGAGAAACCAGTAGGCCGGACTTGAGTCCTGGAGATGGGAAGTACAGTGCCTGCACTCTGAAGGAGGGGTGTTAATGTTGCAGTTTTATAACTGTAGTGCAAGTGCACCTCTGACAAGACAGTGATGGAGTGAATGAGGATAAAAGTTTTTCTTTTTCGGGCCACCCTGCCTTGGTGGGAAGTGGCTGATGTGTTAATAAAAAAAAGAAGTTTGATATTTTAAAACTTTTACTGGTGTGGATTGAAAATGTGCCATCTTCATGCTTCCTCTAATAATATTAATTTTTCAAATTTACAATCACCACTCATGAGCTTAGAACGAAAATATTTTAAGGTAAGTAAAGCACATACTGCATATTCATTTTACTTTCATAGTGTGTTTTTAGGCCTACCTCTATTGTGTGCTTCATAGTATGATAGTGTAAAATGATATCAGGCTTTTATATGCTTTTGAAAGCTTAAGAAACTGTTATGGCTTGAGAAAGCTCCTTATGAGTGAAATGTTGCCACAATAAATTGTCACATTAGCTGCATCCGTGTCCTTTTAACTAATATTTTGTCAGTAATTTAACCATTATTACTAATTGTCACACACTACAACATAATGGACATTTCATACAGACGTTACCTGCACAACCTCCTCTGTCCCCATAGCTTTCATAATAGGCACAACTTCCTACATGACTGCCTTGCAGAGAAGGTAATCTCAAAGTCCACTCCTCCACAATTCTTCAACTCTGGACCAAAACTGTTGGGAATGCCATTTTTATAGGCCATCCAGTTCGTGAAGATGGAAATCCTGACAGTTTTGGTACTGCTTTTTAGTGACAATTCATTTACACTGGGGAACATCAATTGCTAATGTAAAAATTAATTATCATATTCACAACAAAAAGTTAATTATCATTATTATAACATTCACAGATGAGTACTAACCTACTAAACTCATAGAGGTCATACATTAACTGGGGAAATGAGAGATATTCACAGTTGATTCAAGAAAGGGAAGCACAGGTCCAATTCCTTAGATCAAGGGCCTCTCTCTGGCATCAAGGATGCTTCTAGGCATGCACCTATATACTCCAACAAGAAAGATGCGAATGTATGCATACAGCCATGTTCCAAGGCATCAAGGAACCTCCCTCATAGGAAGGGAAAAGATAAACTTATAAATATCACACATCACCTTGGGAAAGGGAGGCAATCAAAGATTTATCCAAGCAAGTAGCACCTCAACTTCCCATGGAAGGAGGACATGCCTAGCTGTATGCCTATGCTAGTCAAGTCCTGTTATCATATTAGTGATGATATACAACACTGATAAGTTGTTAAATAAGACACATTTAAAACACTTGGATATCTTAATTGCCAAAAATGTTTTGCCCATACATTAGGTTTTCTTAATTGGATACAGGTGCATGTATCATCACTGGAAGCAGTAAAAGTAATACTGAGGTGATTAGTCCCTCATCCTGGGTAGGAGGTGGTCAGTCCCTCATACAAGATTCAAGGAAGGCTTGAGGGACTGATCACATTAATACTACTTTTACTGCTTCCAGCTGATATATGGGACACTTGTTCAACATCTGAGAATCTTTATTCTGGAAACATTTTGCTAGCCAGTGGCTTAGCGGTCCTATGCGGAGAAAGATGGAAGCTGAGGAGGAGTTTGAGGTAATCAGTCCCTCAGCCTGGGGTCTGTGTTAAATCCATCAATCTTGATCTAATGAACACACAGACTTCAGCCTGAGGGACTGATTACCTCAAAGTCTTCCTTATCTTTTACCTTTTTCTGTACAGGAGAAAAAACCAATGACTGCCGAAATGTTCCCAGAGTAGATATCCAAATGTTGCACAAGTGTCTCATTTATCAACTTGTCGGTTTACTAATCAGGTGAATGTAGCACTGCATCCAGGGCTACACTCACCTGTATCTGACTGAGGAAGCTGTTGTACAGGCAAAACGTTTTGGTAAGCAAGATAACCATGAACTGCAAAAGTGTCTTATTTATCAGCAGGTCCTGTTATGTTCTAGAAGAATGGCTACACATCAGTAAGTCTGTGACATGTCAAGAAGCTGGCGGTTTAAAAGTTACATTAAAATATAAGCACTAAACCCGCGTGAGTTATGATAGTGGTGTTATCAACAGCAAAATCTATGATCCTCCAAAACTCCAAACTTGTCATTACGAGGAGAAAAAAATAGCCTTACGATGAAATACCTCTGTTGCCTTACAGAGCACCAACCTAAATTTACCTTACATACAATAAAAACAATTGTAGGCGAATAGATTTATCAAGAAAACAAGAAGAGTGTTCAAACGCAGCAGGTGAGGTGTTGCCATGTCAGCTGATCACTGTTGTTGTTACTTTAAGGGCTACCACGACTGCTGCTGTCTCAACCCAACTCTCTCATAATTTTTTTTTAAGATAAGATAAGATTTCGTTCGGATTTTTAACCCCGGAGGGTTGGCCACCCAGGATAACCCAAGAAAGTCAGTGCGTCATCGAGGATTGTCTAACTTATTTCCATTGGGGTCCTTAATCTTGTCCCCCAGGATGCGACCCACACCAGTCGACTAACACCCAGGTACCTATTTGCTGCTAGGTGAACAGGACAACAGGTGTAAGGAAACGTGTCGAAATGTTTCCACCCGCCGGGAATCGAACCCGGACCCTCCGTGTGTGAAGCGGGAGCTTTAGCCACCAGGCCACCGGGCCACATTCCCACCAAGGCAGGGTGGCCCGAATATAATAATATAAAAATCTTTTCTTTATACAAGGCATAAGAATTAACAACTGGGCGTCTACACTGCAAACTGAGGTTTTTGCTATCCTAATGGCGCTAAAGCTAACTTATGACACTGAGCTTGACTCTTTCATCATTACTGCGCACATTCAGCTCACACACTGAGGTCTGGAGTTCGAATCTCCTCCGGTACGGCTGGAAAACATTACGGACGTGTTTCCATAAGACACCTGCCGTCCATGTTCACCCATCAGAATAAAATGGGTACTTGGGTACTCACCTAATTGTGGTTGCAGGGGTCGAGACTCAGCTCCTGGCCCTGCCTCTTCACTGATCGCTACTAGGTCCTCTCCCTCTCTGCTTCCTGAGCTTTGTCATCCCTCTTCTTAAAACTATGTATGGTTCCTGCCTCCACTACTTCACTTGCTAGGCTATTCCACTTCCTGACGACTCTATGACTGAAGAAATACTTCCTAACGTCCCTGTGACTCGTCTGAGTCTTCAGCTTCCAGATGTAACCCCTTGTTCTGTGTCCCCTCTCTGGAACATCCTATCTCTGTCCACCTTGTCTATTCTCCGCAGTATCTTGTATGTCGTTATCATGTCTCCCCTGACCCTTCTGTCCTGCAGTGTCGTCAGTCCGGTTTCCCTCAACTTTTCCTCGTACGACATTCCCCTGAGCTCTGGGACTAGCCTTGTTGCAAACCTTTGTACTTTCTCTAACTTCTTGACGTGCTTGACCAGGTGTGGGTTCCAGACTGGTGCTGCATACTCCAGTATGGGCCTAACATACACAGCATACAGTGTCTTGAACGATTCCTTATTAACATATCGGAACGCTATTCTCAGGTTTGCCAGGCATCCGTATGCTGCAGCAGTTATTTGGTTGATGTGTGCCTCCGGTGACGTGCTCGGTGTTATGGTCACTTCAAGATCTTTCTCCCTGAGTGAGGTCTGTAGTCTTTGTCCACCTAGCCTATACTCTGTTTGCGGTCTTCTTTGCCTCTCCCCAATCTTCATGACTTTGCATTTGGCAGGGTTGAATTCGAGAAGCCAGTTTCTGGACCACATGTCCAGCCTGTCCAGGACTCTTTGCAGTCCTGCGTCATCCTCATCCGATTTAATTCTTCTCATCAGCTTCACATCATCTGCAAATAGGGACACTTCAGAGTCTATTCCTTCCATCATGTCGTTCGCATGTATCAAAAATAGCACTGGTCCTAGAACTGACCCCTGTGGGACCCCGCTCGTCACAGGCGCCCACTGTGATACCCCTTCACATACCATGACTCGTTGTTGCCTCCCTGTCAGGTATTCCCTGATCCATTCCAGTGCCCTCCCTTTTATATGCACCTGATCCTCCAGCTTCTGCATTGATCTCTTGTGGGGAACTGTGTCAAAGGCTTTCCTGCAGTCTAGGAAAATGCAATCAACCCACCCCTCTCTCTCGTGTCTTACTTCTGTTACATTGTCATAAAACTCCAGAAGGTTTGTGACACAGGATTTGCCTTCCATGAACCCATGCTGGTTTTCATTTATAATCTTGTTCCATTCCAGGTGTTCCACCACTCTCCTCCTGATAATCTTCTTCATGACTTTGCACACAATACATGTCAGAAACACAGGTCTGTAGTTTAGTGGCCCGGCGGCCTGGTGGCCTGGTGGCTAAAGCTCCCGCTTCACACACAGAGGGCCCAGGTTCGATTCCCGGCGGGTGGAAACATTTCGACACGTTTCCTTACACCTGTTGTCCTGTTCACCTAGCAGCAAATAGGTACCTGGGTGTAAGTCGACTGGTGTGGATCGCATTCTGGGGGACAAGATTAAGGACCCCAATGGAAATAAGTTAGACAGTCCTCGATGATGCACTAACTTTCTTGGGTTATCCTGGGTGGCAAACCCTCCGGGGTTAAAAATCCGAACGAAATCTTATCTTATCTTATCTTATCTAGTGCCTCATTTCTGTTTCCTTTCTTAAATATGGGGACTACATTTGCTGTCTTCCATTTCTCAGGTAGTTGCCCATTTTCAAGGGATGTGTTGAAGATTGTGGTTAGGGGCACGCACAGGATCTCTGCTCCTTCTCTAAGGACTCACAGGGAGATGTCTGGTCCCATCGCCTTTGAGGTATCAAGGTCACTTAGCAGCTTCTGCACCTCCTCCTCGGTTGTCCATACGTCATCCAACACTTGTTGGTATATTCCCTCTTGATGTTCCCATCTGTGCTATCTTCCCAGAGCCATTCCTGTCTCTACTGTAAAAACTTCCTTAAATCTCCTGTTTAGCTCCTCATATACCTCCTGATCATTTCTTGTGAGTTCTCCACCTTCTGTCCTCAGTCTGATCACCTGGTCTTTGACTGTTGTCTTCCTCCTGATGTGGCTATACAACAGTTTCGGGTCAGTCTTGATTTTCGATGCTATGTTATTTTCATACTGCTGGGCCTCCCTCCTTACCTGTGCATACTCGTTCCTGGCTCTGCGACTAATCTCCCTGTTTTCATGTGTTCTCTGCATTCTGTACTTTTTCCATTCTCTATTGCACTTTGTTTTTGCCTCCTTACACCGTCGGGTAAACCAGGGGCTCGTTCTGGTCTTCCCATTGTTTCTGTTGCCCTTGGGAATATACCTTTCCACTGCCTCCTTGCATTTTGTTGTTACATATTCCATCATTTCATTTACTGGCTTTCCTGCCAGTTCTCTGTCCCACGGAACCACCTGCAGGAAGTTCCTCAACCCTATGTAGTCCCCTCTTTTATAGTCAGGCTTTTCCCATTCAACTCCTGTTACTCTCTCACCTTGCAACTCTACTATGTATTCGAAGCACAGAATCATGTGGTCACTAGCTCCTAGGGGACTCTCATATGTGATGTCCTCAATGTCTGCACTGCCCAGGGTGAACACAAGGTCCAATCTTGCTGGGTCATCCTCCTCTCTCACTCTGGTAGTGTTCTTAACTTGTTGGTGCATGAGGTTTTCCAGCACCACATCCAACATCTTGGCTCTCCATGTTTTGGGACCCCCATGTGGCTCCAGGTTTTCCCAGTCAATCTCCCTGTGGTTGAAATCCCCCATAA